TTCCATTTACTTCCCAGCCATTAAAACTGCATATATTTCTCGGTCTAAAATAATTGCACAAATATTTTTTTTGACAAATATTGCTTTAAAAAAGCCCTTGCAGGCGCAAAATAGCATAGAAGGGTGCAAGCCCCATTGGTACTTACATCTGCCCTCCCATTCATATTCACTCAGCTTTTCAGAATACTGCTTTTAGAATTGTTATAGAACCCCAGTAAATACAATTGTAAGTACTTTGAAAAGGAACCATGAAAAGGTGGGCAAGTCAGTATCTTCTCTTTCTGGAGCAACCAGAGACTCAGAGAACTGTTGAAAAGGTAAAAGGCACTGAGAACTGTGAGTTCTATACTTAAAATTAAGAGGATTATAATATAAAGGGGAGCTATTCCAATTTTGGCCCATGTTTCCCCATTTATCGATGCTTTTCAATTGGCAACTAGTCCCTGGCAACTGTGCAGGAGACTATATCCAGTCTCATCTTGTCAATTTTTCCCTTCTTCACTTCAGGGCTCCATCTGACAACTAAACCAGACAACGAAATTGACCAGCAAAGACTTAAACATTTTGGACATCTGTAAGAGCTCACTTGCAAAACACATGTAGCAAACAAATTTCCACTATTTTATGGGGTTAAAAAAGGGCTGGCAAACCAGTGATTCCAAAGCCACTTGGGCACTGGGGAAGGGGCTGTCACTGGCAGTAGAAAGGGTGAAATCAAAAGCACAAGGAGTTTTTGCAACTCTTGCCAAACAGCTGAATATCCATTCCCCACAACCCACAATGAAATTAATCTTCCAGGTTTGGATGACACAACAACCCAAAGTCAATGAAAGAGCTCTTAGAACAAAGCATGGGTTGGTTTGTCCCTGAAATGCTCATGATGCATCGCCATGTTGTACAAAACCAGTCAGTGAGTGGATTAACAACCATGGAAATGGCATCCCTCAAGGAACCCAGCTGACCCCTTCTGGGCTGCCGGACCCTAGTATAATACCTTGTTTTGAAGATCGACAAATTCAAACAACATTACTGAGCAGGAATATATTAACTGTATGCCTAATTTATGTGCTGGTGGAGATGCTGGGATTTATTTGTAATTGAAAGGTGACTGTAGAAATAAAAGGTATCAAATTGGCCTCTGCTTCTTCTCAACAAATGTGTGCTAATTAGATTAATTCAGAACATAAACCAGTATTTTTAAATATTTTCTCCCGTATATGGAAGAATAATTTGCCAACACTATGTGAAAGAAATATTTTCCTTATAATAATTTGCTATATTTATAAACTTTTGAATAATTTTTCCCAAGGCAATCTGCTACATGCTGTAAGTATATTACGCATTCTGTGGTTCCAAATGTAGGAGGTCTTTCATTCAGTTTTATTAAACCACATAAGCTACAATCTAGTAGATAAAGACTCATGTCTTGTTGAATTTAATATGACTTACACCTATGCAGCTGTGCACTGAGATCATACAGACAATTCTAATTTCTCTTCCTCCTTCATCAAAACAACCATTTTCCTTAGCCTATTCTACATACACACTTTTCTGTGACTGAGTCCTATTGAACGAGTAGGACTTACATGCACATGATTGCTCTGTATGCTATCAGGAGATTAATGTTAAAGACACAATTCTATGCATATTCAAACAGGAAAAAAATCTAAAACTTCTCTCATACTACAGCCAGTATTGGAAGCTAGGGCATCCTGGGAGATGTAGAATTTGTTTCTTTCAGCTTTATCAGGGATTCTGTGATTTGTTATCAAGAATTTTGTACCTCAAAGTCTATTTTTTTAAATGCATCATTTTCTGGCCACAGATGAAAATGCAACTCAAATCCATATGTACTTTATTTTGTTACTCATCTTGTGTTTTTTTGAATGTACCTTTGCTTTTTTCAATGGTTGGCATTTCATCCATTGTAACAAGCGGCTTTTTGTTGGGTGGTTCAGGAGAATCAGGTGAATCTTTTATTACTTCTGCTTCTCCAAGTTCCTCTTTTTCACGATCTAATAAACCTTTTAGTCTTGGGAGATAAAGAAAAAGGATTACCATTGCAATTAGGACATCAACAGTTCAGTTGTGACACTACCTACAGACAGACAATATGGGCTCCCAAGCAAGAAAGCAATGAAAAAAAAGAGGTCATTATGCCTTAAGTGATACTGACAAGAGACTGAAAATAATAAGAGCTAATAAATTACCACAGAACTAGTCATCTGAATCTTATACTGTTTTGATCAAAACCAAATTACAGTGGTACCTCAGCTCATAAATGCCTTGGATCACAAACAAATCAGGTCACGAACAAAAATTTCATTAAAATTTTGATGTGGGTAGCGAACTCCGCATTGGGTTGTGACCAAGATCGCAGTCATCCACCCCCGCAACCTGAGTGGATAGATAGTCATGATCGCAGTTGCTTTCATGCAAAGAAGATGTGCGTGATCACAGGTGCGCTCCTGCAGGAAAGACGGGCGCAATCTCGGCCATTCCACCCCCCAACCACCACTAGCGTGGCCATCTTCCCACCCCACCCCCGAGTGGGGAGATGGCCGTGATCGTGCTTGGGGCGGGGGGGGAGATGGCCGAGATCGCACCCATCTCTCCCTCCTCCAGCGTGCCATTTGCGCCCATCTCTTCCTCTCCCAATGTGCCCGTGATCATTCCCGTCTCTCCCCCACCACCCCCCAGTGTGCTGGGATGATGGGCGCCTGCAGGGATGACAGGCGCGATCTCGGTTGTGCTGGGGGGGTGGGTGGGGAGATGGCTGCGCTTGTGCTCAGGGTGGGGGGGTGGCCACGATCTTTGTTGTTGTCATGTTCCTTCACATTTTTCTGATTTAAAAAATGGTTACAGAATGGATTAACCTTATTTACACTGAACCTTGTAGGGAAATTTAACTTGGCTCATGACCAATTTGGGTCACAACCAGAGTCCTGGAACGGATTAAGTTCGTAAGTATACAGGTACAACTGTATATTTTTTAAAAGTTTAACTATTCAGTCCCAAGTTCACACAGTTAAGGCAATATGCTTTTTAGACAACCAAAGTGTTTCCTAACATTCCTGATCCACCTCTTGATCATGGATGCTAGCATAAAGCCTAGGTAAAGGGGCAGGGGTGAACACAGAGAGGGCATCCACTCTGCTGACAATTAAAAGTGTCCCTGAATATTATTTTAAGATGCCAACGTTTGCAGAAAGTTCCCATATTTCAGAAGTTATGCTAAAGTAGCCTAACAGCAGACCAGACTCTTTCTTAGCCTTCTTTCACTCTCTTTAATGCAATAGAGAAAACTTGCCTTCATTTGCAACATTTATATAAATAGACATTAAATCAATACTGAAAATTTACCTTTCTGATTCCTGCCAGGATTTTTCTGGTTCATAGTCTTTCCCTGCTTTCTCTGACTTGTCCTCTTTTTCTTCTCTCTTCCTCCCTCGTTTTTTGCGCTCCTCTTCTTCAGGTGGTTTGCTTCTGCAAGCCAGAAGACACTCCAAGACACGTTGATGTTTATCAGAGTTGCCTATGTGTGCTCTAACAAGGGTCTCCAATTCATTCCACATAATCCTGTACTGTTCATCTCTGTATAAGTGACCAAAAATAAGTTCAGTCTTATCTTATGTACACAGGTAGCCCATTTAATTAAAAAAAATCAAACGCTTCAAATATCTAATGTATCTTCACATTTAAAGAAAGAATTCTGAATCTATTTTAACAGTCTATTATGAGGCACAGCTCTGTAAAGGTGATGAATCACTATAGTAAACTAACATCTAAAAAGAAATGTTTCTTCATCTGATGCTGAACACTACCCAGAGAGCTTTGATTGTTTGGCAGTACAGAACCTAACTAAATACATAAATGCTTTAAAATATTAATTTTCTTGTTATTCATTTATTATATTGCAAGTATAGTCTGCCTTCCTTCCTCTTGCAAAGAACCCAAGGTTTCTTACAACGTTCTTTTCCTCTCCATTCTGTCCTCAAAACCCTCTGAGGTAGATTAGGCTGAGAGTCTGTGATTGGCTCAAAGACACCCAATGAGTTTCACAGCAGAATGGGGATTAGGACAATATCTTCTAAGTCCCAGTCCAGTACTCTTAACCACTACACTTTACCAGAAAGGGGGGGGACATTTTCCTCTGCATTACTAATATAATTTTGCATTAAGTACATTCAAGAAAATCTTTACCTTTTAGGACCCTTTCCTCTTGTTCCAACTGTTGATATTGGCAGTGGATCATTTTTCCTTTCCATATCTACTAAATTGTATATTGTTTTTTGACAATTTAGCACATCTTCATCTGTCAAAGCTTCTTTCACAATAACACTTGCTAATGGGACTACCTGCAAGACAAACAATGGATACAGATATTCTTAACAGACTAGCTGCCTGAAACATGCATTTGTTTGTTCTGATGAGTTATGTACATGAGTGTCCATTATCAATAACTTTGCTATGGTTTCACATTATATTAGATTTAGAAAAATTTCCATGCTACAATATACAAACAGTACATAAACAATGTACTTTTCTATTATAAGGAAGCTATACATTAGATTTACATTATTAGCTTCCTTTAATACGAAACTCTGTGTCTCCATGCCAACAGATGTGGAGCGAAAATGGGGGCACTGAGAATTAAGTAAGTGGTGTCAGCATGCCTGGGACAAGCCCAAGATTTACAGGATAGAACTAAAATAACAACAAAAACTCTCTCCCACCAGAATGCTTCAACTATGATCCCAAAAGCTGGATGTCAGTAGGAAAAAAATAAAAGAAGAACTGGAAGTGGGAAGGGGAAGTGTTAATTGGCTTATCTGTCTTTTCTGTTATGAGAAGACACTGCAACATTTGTAAAAGGCTCCACTTAGATTATCATCAAGCAAACATGATGTGCTCTCCTTATCATATTCACCTGAAAAGCAGCACAACTCAAGTCAGACTAGACTATTTCCAAATAAGACAGGATTTAAGACTGGGATATAAATACCATTTGTGGTCACCTACCGCTTGCATATTGAATATAGTCGTCTGTGAGATAATCATAGGCCAGTAGCGAGTATGCTTCTCTAGCTGATCTTTTGCTCGTTCTAAAGGAATCTCAAGGTTTTCATCACCTTTGTATCTAGGTTCTAGAAAAGGAGTAAGCCTGTTTTCTCTCATAAATTCACCAAAATCCTAAACAACCAAATAAGAAGAAATTATTTTCCTATACAACATTTCACTATACAGTTCAAATATAGCATCCGTTCTGTTCACTCCATCTTCTATAATATTAAATTCTGCTGAACACATCTTTTCAAAGTGTTCAACATACTACAGATGGAGGTTCATTTAAGCATTACATTTTTTAACTGTGAAACTTTCATCAATTAAGTTTCATAAAGATAGCCAGTTATTTTTAGATACAGCTACAGCAAACTCCATAGGTAACAGGTAAACAATGTGGTGCTTCATATCCTTTTGTGTTGTACACTGAGGTCCCCTAATCTTTCCACTTCTTTTATTAGATAACGTCTCTTACTATTAGCTGAGATTTCTACAAAGCAAAATGACTTTGACTATTCCCATCTTCTTTTTCCCATGAACACTTCAGGGCCACATATGAGGCTCAGAGACCTCCTTAGGAAATGCTGGAAGGGCACTGCAATGCTTTCATATGCAGTGTGCCCATTTTGTGAAAGTGCCCAGGACAGATTTCCAAATTGCCAAATATACCAATGGACCCAAAAAGGTTTCCCAGTTCCCACTGTAAAGGTTGCTTATACTTTAAGCAGCATATTGTTTAGAACCTAGATCAGAAAGAACAATTAAAATTGATTTTAGATCAAAGGAAAGCTACCTCTTATTGATTCTAATAGGCCTAAAGCAGTTTAAAAAGTAACTTCCCCAAGTCTCACAAACCCTGTTGGTGACTATGATCCCAGTCCACTAACTCCTATTAATGAAAATTGAGAAAGCTGAGTGTAAAGGTCAAACTGTAACAGAATCATCAAAGAAATGGGTTAATCAATTTCCCCTTTCCTTGCATTTTTGTCATCCAATTATTCCTTTGAAGCTTCCCATTTAACCTAGCTGAGCAGAGAAGAGCAGTAGTTGCCCCATCTGGTCCAGAGGTTATACAAGCAAGCTCCCAGAGAGCAAGCTGACAGTAGTTTGACAGTGGAACTGTAGTGGAAGAGGAAACAAAGGGAGAGGTGAGTGGCCTGGAATAAGCCCAGGGACTATCCCTTCAAAGGGGAGATGTGCTCACTATGGGCTTTGACAGCTGTAAGTGCTGTGTCCTTACACCTGGGGCGGACTGGGTGGCAGAAGCCAGACTGCCGTCACTAGGTGTGTGAGCAGGGAGATTCATTCTGTTTCCTCACTCCTAACTGAGCAGAGCAGTGGAAACTGCCCCAGGTAGTCTAGGGGCTATATAAGCAAGCAAATTCCCAGAGAACAAGTGACCAGAATGAGTGAATATGGGGGCCAAACAGGAGTCTGGCAGAGGGGAGGTCAAGGGGAATGTCCTGAATATTTTTTTTTCTTGTAACACACACTGATATACTACTAGGACTCTGTTGTTAACCTTCACAGAATACTGGACAAAGGCCTTTACAATACAATCAGTAAAAAAAGAATAAAAAAGGAAGTAGAGCCTATAAATGGAAAAGATTCTCCAGTGGTGGTGACCTTCAAGGTCTGTACAGTGTTTGCTTTCTTGCCTGAGATCAACATGGCCGTCATGTACAAGGGCAAGCTGGTTGCCCTGTCAGAAGGACAAGTGAGAGTCCTGAAGCAATGAATGTCCACCCTCAAGGAAATAAAAGAAAGCAAAGTGTTCTTAGAACAGTAGAATTACAATAGCAAAGTGAAACACAGGAGCTAGAAGAGCAACAGCAAGCCAAAGCAGAAGAGGAGAATCTTGAGGCAAGGAAAAATGAAGCAGAGGAAACTCCATGGAAAAGGGTGACAGAAGCAAAGATCTAGAAGACACACTGCACCAGTGGAAACAGTGGAACTACGAAACTGCTAGACCGCACAACTATCAGGATCCACAGCTGGCTACAGAATCACACTCAGGATCAGAATGCTTATCAGTGGCACCTTCTCTAACTTGTAAGAAGTGGTAGTACTGCAGGGTTCAGTCCTGAGCCCAGTGCTCTTTAACATGTTTATTAATAATTTGAATGAGAAGGTGTAGGTGATGTTTATGGAATTTGCAGACGACACAAGACTGGGTGGGACAGCTAATACCCTGGAAGACTGAAATTAATTCAAAGTGATCTTGACAGGTTGGAGTACTGGGCTGAAAACAGCAGAGTAATAGGGATAAATGCAAAGGTCTCTACCTAGGAAAAAGAGAACAAACGCATAGCTTCAAGATGGGGAACACCTGGCTTAACAATGTTACAAGCAATCTGAATTGCTTAGGGAGCTTGTAATTTCTCCCACACTAGAGGCATTCAAAATGCAGCCAGACAGCCATCTATTAGGGATGCTCTAACCTTGAATCCTGCACTGAGCAGGGGATTGGCCCCATGGCCTTACTGGACCCTTCCAGTGCTACAATTCTTCTATAGAAACTCACGTGACATTAGCACAAAACTTTTAAATAATCATTATGGCTTCACACATTTGAACACACAAATGTGCACAAAAATCTTACTGTAATCCTGTAGTCTGTGACTCTACCACCACATCCTTCACTAATTGAAGGAGGATCTTCTAGGATGGATCGGGAGCTGCTTAATACATGTAGGAATATTTCTCCACCATGACTACTAAGCATATGACTAATTACTTTAGAGCCAGATTTCCGTGGTTGTTCCAACAGCACAGAACGACCTATTGAAAGAAAAACAGCTTAATTAATTACTCAACAGTTCTAGACGGCACTTATTTATTTCCCTCATTCCTAATTGTTATTACTGACATGTAGGACTTGTGACATAAAATATGTTCAATAGTTATTTACTAGTAACTATTAAGAGCCCATATTCAGCAAAGAAAGACAGTCAATCAGTCAGTCAGACAGACAGACAGACAGAAACCAACCAACCAACCAACCCTTATAATGCCTACACAATAAAGCTCAAAATAAAATTCATGGATTTCAAGCAAGTCCGTTTTCAAAGTGCAACAAAATACCATGCAGCCATGGATCTGCAGCATGCTGTATAGAAGTATTAACAGAAATAACATTCCATTAACGTTTTCAAACTAAACTGATCTGTATGAAGGGACACATTCTACTTGTATTAATACAGATCCCCCGCCCCCACACACACTTTCTGAAATTAATCCCAACTGACACATCCAAAAGAAATATTTTTTGATGCTGTTAGAAATAGGAATGTATGAGAAATCTGTATGGGATTGAAAACTTAGCTTTTTGGGGGGGGGTTGTTTTTTGTTTTTGCAGTTCAGGCCTATAGATATTGTTCTGTTTCCCCACTTCCACACCAGCTGGTATTAACTCAATCAGTACTGAATAGCACCAGAATGACTATTCTAGGTTGTTGTGGTGGTGGGTTGTTTTGTTTTTTCTGAAAGAGGCAATTTGCACAATTTATATAGGGGGAGGGATTTTCCTGAAACATGGAAAACAGTATCATAACACAAATTTAATACATCATTCCCTTCATACATTTTGGACAATAACTCCTAAGGTTCACAACCATTAGTTATGCTGGTTGGGACTAATAGAACCTGAAATCCTAAATATCTGGAGGTTTATGGTTAGGAGCAGTCTAGTGTATGTTCACAGTTGGGATGGATTTTACTGTTTATTTTTTCCCCAATTGCTCAATTTATATTTGAATTTTATGCATTGAGTTAAAAGCTTATTTTCTGAGTTCAATTTGATTACCTGCATTACTAGATGTGGTTCAATTTGTGATTTAAATGTTAGAAATTTGACTTCATCTTCAAATTTGGTATTACTTTTGTAGGGGGTGCAAACATAAATCAAATATTTTCTAGGGGTGCGGTGAATAGAAAAGGTTGGGAACCACTGACCTACGCCCTTCTAATTACAATTTGTTCTTAACATCATCTTCCTTGGTATTAAACTCATATTTATTGGCCTATATTTTACAGGATTGTCAAACACATGCTTATATGGGAGCCAGCCTGCTATACTGGGATACTATGATATTTCAAAACAGCTTGTACTGTGTCAGGAAGGGATGGATGGCATGGGAAAACACTTTTTCTCAAGGAAAACAGTACCACCATTCCCTCTAGATGCATAAACTTAGGTTCATAGGTCTTAGGATCTTGGCAAGAGTTAATACAACAGGGTTTCTTGAAACATTCTGACCTGGCTCATATATGACAGCACTTTTGCATGGAAACTGTAGGCACCCAACTTGCCATGCCATATGAACTCAGGCAGTAGGGATTGTTTGTCAGTTAGGCAACCCTCAAATAATCCTAAAACAAGAAAAAGGTTATTCAAAGGTTGTCTAAACCTCAAAATCCTCCTGGTGCCTGGATTCACAGGTCACTACAAAGCCATGACCTGCTAAACACTGAGTATAATCTAACAACTGCCACAGTGAGACAGCTGAATCACAGATATTAAGCTACAGTGGACTATCATGTTATGCAGAACAATTATAGCTGTGTCCTCTTTAACTGGAGTGTTTTAAGAAAGATCCTTGACAAAGTTTAGTAAATTTCTGGGACAATCCCATACATAAGAATTCCATACACAAAGCTAATCATTCCAATAAGAGGCTATCCAGATCTTCATGGAAATAATTCCAAAAGCATTCTGACAAGAATAAACAGTGTACTGAAACCAGCCTAAGTGTTATATAAGGCAACACAGCTTTTGGTGGAAAAAGTTACGCTTCAAGAGTTTAAATGAGCACATGGACAATTTAATTAGCATTCTTGGATCGTCTAAGCACTTACTAAATGTTAAATAATCTGAGAATAAAATATAATCTTTTTCGGGTAACAGCAATGGAACTGTTGAGACATATTACCGAGCAAATAAGAACAAATACAGATGTTCCTTTTTTTAAAGCTATGAGGATGTCCAACCAAAAATAAAGACCTAGCCAGCTCAACATCCTTAATGACATTGGCTTGAACTAGTTGTAAAAACCCCTATTACTTTCCACACCTGAAGTGGATTCCAAACCTTGAACTGACACTCAATGTACTCCCAGTCTCAGGCCGAGTTCAAACCTGAGTCCTCAATAATTTAAAAAGCACTAATTTTTTCACATAAGTATTAAGTCAGAAAATATTTTACCATTAAGAAGAAAATTAGTAAGGCAAGAGGAAGGTCGACTATTTACATCTACAGGCGATATTCTATATGCTCCAGTGCAATAATGCAGCTCTGAAAAAGAGACATGGGATGGGATAGATAGAAATTTTAGTTTGTCTATACAACAGAATACACATCTTGATTTCATAATGCACGCAAAAGTTGACCATCCCTAAGTGAAATAAAGTTGTTCAGTCCCTCTGCAAATCAATATTATATTGATAATAATGCAAGTTGAATAGAATTTACATATGCATTTGTGATTTTGCTTTTAAAAGAATGTTTTAATTAGCATGAACATGCATATTATACACATGTAAACGAAACATACTCAGAAGAATTCTGTTAGAATTGAACTTTGGGTCCTTAGGAACATCTATCACAAAAGTTGTGATAGCCACAGGCAAGATCCTTGAAACACTGAGAAATTTCAACAAGCGGGAGTGTTTAAAAATCAGCAGTATAGCTAAGTGAAATGGGATATTGTGAAAATAGTGAGTTGAGTTTGTTTTTGAAAAGGGGCAATGGAAGAGTGGCACCTTAAAGAGAATTATTTGGATTTCTACCAAAGAGGGCATTGGCGCTTATGGAGAAAAGGGAAAAAAGTTAAGCAAAGAAAGAAGCTTCAGCCTGGGTTAATTTGAATTAAGGAGAAACATACTATTTGGGGGACTGAGAGAGGGGGCAGGTTCAAAAGACTAAGGAAGGGAAGTAAGCCACCATCATGACAAGCCACACTTTGAAAGACGCATGTGCAGGAAGGAAAATAAGTCACTGCAACTTTTTCCCTCCATGTTCACACAAACCTGACCAGGGCACTGCCTTTATTTCTTCTTTGTGATGTGAGGAGAAAGAGGGGGATTAATAGGTCTTTTCCTATATCTGCCTATATTGCTCCAGATAAGCAAGGCAGCCAAAGGGATTTTGGTGACCGTCTTAAACAAAGGTGACATAAATCTGCCTGGAAAGGATTTGGGGGTTCAGCTTCAGAACTTTTTTTTTTTAAAGTAGAGAATAGTTTATAATCTGTTCTTCCAGCTGGCTGGAACAGGAATGTTAGAAATCAACTTAACTATTTCATAGTGGAGGCTTCTGTGGTAAGATCTGAAATTTTAATATGCCAACAGAGGAATTAAGATAATCAGAACATAGTGGTTGGATATAAAGTTCTTTGCAAAAGTGGCACAGGTAATTTCATGGCCTGAATCGTCCTACGTAGGTGTTATTTTGAGCTCAAAAACACATTCTCCTTCCAGATACAAGTACCTTCTTCCCCAAAAGGCAGAATTTGATAGGTGTTTACTAAGCACACACACACAGAAACACCTGGCACATCACTGGGTATTTAAGTCACAATGCACCTGAGTACCCAAAGATGTCACTTTGCACATCCAACCCATATGCTTGGGAGTTGTTATATTATGCTTTCATGTAGATTTGAACATTATTTATTCAATTTATATTCAACACAACATAGTGATAATTTTCATTTTAAAAAATTCTCAGAGACTATCTGGCTTCAGTATAGAGTTCATATACAAAATGGAAGGAAATGAAGGTCCTGAAGCAATATAATCATATTGGAAACAAGTACACAGTCTATAAGTCCCTTGATTGTCTCTATAGTATTTTGAATAAATACTGGCAAGCTGGAGGACAAAAGCAGCAATAAGAAATATCACACTTATTTGTACTGAATAGAAACATTTGAGAAGGGAAAGAAACACACCTACCAACACTGTTTGTTCTTGGAGTGCACCATTTTAAAGTTACAGTTTCTTTGAATGTGCCCTCTTTGCTACTACCACCCATATGATTATCACCTGTAATAATGTTAGAGGTAAATATAAATAAGTAACACAGAAAAAATAGACAATACTGCTAGCTATTATAATCTGTTACTATGTGTATCACCATTACTACATACTACATACATTTTTATTTATTTAAAATATTTATATGCTGTCCTGTCGCAAAAAGCCTCAGGACGGCTTACAGCATAACATACAACATAAATAAATTCCCAACCCACACTGGCTGCAGTTAAAAACATAGAAAAGACAGTATTAAAACTTATATCACTGGAATAAAAAGGTCTTAACCTGGCGCCGAAAAACAAATAACGACGGCGCCAGGCAGACCTCTCTGGGGAGCACATTCCATAGATGGGGCGCCACCGCAGAGACAGCCCTCCTCCGGGTACTCTGCCTCCTAATATCTTTCACGGAGGGTTCCCGGAGGAGAGCCTCTGCTGTCGATCTCAAGGGGCGGGAGGGCAAATATTTTTAGAAACAAAAACAATTTTAAGAAATGCCTTTTCAAATTCAGTTAAGTCTTACATGTCTGTCATTAAACAGTGCCCTGCCTTCTTCATACTGTCTCTCTATGAAGTCCTTTGCTCTCAGACAGACTATTTTCAAATACCAATATTTGAATGTATAAAAGCTTCTGTACAAGCAATGTTCCTCCTTGATGCCAACACACGTTAACAGTGATCTACTATTTTAATATATTCTGAACCACTTATGTTATCAGAACCCCTTCATCAAACATACTGTGATACAGTCGAAGTAATTATTGTTCAATATCTAGATGAGGCTAGCAAACTAAAAAACAAAGCAAAGTGTGTTAATTATAGGTATTCTGCTATTTAGGCTTAAGAACACAAAACTGGCAAATGCACTGAAAGCTAACTAGTGATTTTTGGGTAAGCCACACTCAAACTTTTTACTCAAATTAAACAATGCCAGATATATTAAACATTCTGGTAAAAATGTATCCTCAAATTAAGCATACTTTAAGTACCATTTATTTCAATGGGATCCTTAAACACATGTCTAATTCCCTTCCATTTAAATAAGTGGAACTTTAAGAGTGTAACCCTTCCTATGTTAAGATAGGAAAAAAGTCCCATGTATGCTGGTTTGGAGAAGTTCTTAGGAATTGTATTTCAGGAGTGTGCATGCCAAAGGGGACATGGTCAGAATACCAACATATTTGAGCTTAAAGCTCTTGCTTCCAGTAGCTAAATCTTAGAAGAACCATTTCAACCTTTCAGAATAGGGAGAAGATGGGGCAAAAGCTGGGAAATCACCAAACAGCGGGGGTGAGCAGGTGGACAGGGACACAGAAGGAAAATTTAGAAGCACCTGATAATGTGGTAAGAGGGTGTAGCCATCTGGAATACCCCAAAGACCTGCATTCAGACTGTAGATTTGGCCCACAAAAGCCCGAGTCCAATACTCACCACTTTTTAAGAAGTCTACATGTGCTTCCTTGTGATGAAGCAGCTCAACATCATAATTGGCTGATGTGTTGGCATGCTGTTCCTCCTTTTAAAAGAAAATATTAGAATAAAAATATATAAATAAACAAAAAATTTTAGGAAGGCTAGAGGTGTTTTAATACACAGGTAATTCTCCATTTTGCTTTTTGATGCAAAATTGCCAAAAGGAAAAATACCCCATATTAGACTTCATTCATTCATTCATTCAACTTATAGTCTGCATTCAAATAGTCCAAGGACTCTCTAAGCTTCACTTAATGGACAGGAATTTTGAGTAACCCTGTTGGCTCACTGACATACATAAAGATACAGTATCCTCATATGTAGCACAATCCAATGTTTACACAGAAGTAAGTTCCACTGTGTTTAACAGTGCTTCCTGCCAGATAAGTATACACATGTGCAGCCCTCAAATACACTGTACAATTACTTTTAAAAATGCCAAGTATGAATTCATTCTATAGCCTTACTCTCTCAGTTTTCTATATGTAAAAGTATACAGGGGTACCAAATAAAACAAATCCAGCACCCATTTCCACCCAGACATTAGTTATCCAATAACTTTCATTTCCTAAGCAACCAATAGTGATTATGATTACAGCTCCACCATCTGGAAATGCTGCATTTTTTCATTTCATGGGAGTTTTTTTCTTGCATTTCAGGTTAATAAGAGAAATCACACACAGTCTTATCTGGCTTCCACAACTGAAAATTAGCAACTACTGTGGTTCAAACTGCATGCATAAGGGTAAAAAGCAAAAGGAAACAGCACCTTTAAACAGCTAAGGCAGACTAGCAAACACCATGTATGACAGATTAGGAAAAAATTACCATATGGCTTTTCATAAATAATACATGGGGAACCCAACATATATACCATTACTAGAAAGAACAAAAGGCAAGAAGAGCACACCAGCAGCACACGTCAGTAAGTTGCAAACAAGGTATTTGCAAATGTAAGAAGCTGGACATGATAGACTATAACAGTTTAATTAAAATAGTCAGGATGCAACAATCACAACAGAAACAACTGCTGCTTTAACCTACACAATCCAGGCAGTATTATTATAACTCTTTTCCTTTTGTGCATTCTCTTTTTTCCGGATAAAAATGACAACAATGCTGTGCTTTCATACTATTACCCAATTAAAGAGTATAATTGAAATTTAAGTCTAATTAGAACATTGGGTTTCTCTGATGGGCACTTCAGAGAAAATGAAGGCCAATAATAAAAGAAAACTTTCTGCCCATAAACACACACAAAGGCTGCAATCCTAAACATATTTACTAAACAGTAAGCTCCACTGAACACAGAGCAAATTACTTCTGAGTAAACATGGATAAGATTGCACTGTCTCCATTAGTAGGAATAATGTCAAGCTACTACAGGTAAAAGACCACATTTTAATTTTTCAGCAAAATTGCTTTCATATTCCTACTCATCTTATGTAAATAGCACGAAATCACTTGGAAAAATATAGTCTTTAACTTTTTATTCCTATTGATTTCTACTTATTACAAACACCTTTATGTTGGGAAGGCATGGAAATGACACACAGAAATGAAAGGCTCACTATGACACTAAAATGCACACGGGGCAGAAATTTCTAATACATGTATAAAAACAAAAGAATCACAGACAAAATAATTTGAAGCAAACTAGGTTACATTTACATAACATAAATAAAAACAAACACTACTTTCAGAATTGAATAAATTGCTGAAAACCAACATGGCCATTTGTTCTGTGATCCTTTTTTCTCCTTCATAAAATTTACTAACCTGGTCACAGACATTGAATGTGGGCTAATAAACAGAAAAGAATGTAATAATGGAGAGAAAAAAACAAATGTAAAAATTCAATTAAAATAAATATTAAAACAAGTAAACAAATGTAAAAGAAATGGTGCAGCTACTTCAGCATGAAGCTGCTGACACAACCTTACCTTCATAGGAATGTTAGTTATAGTGGTTGAAGCCAGATCAAAATGCTGCTGTACTAAAACATTCAGTCTGGTGGCCAGATGCCGTCCAGCCCGAACACTATGTACTTCACTGGTTAAGACAGGAGAGAGCTTTTTTAAAAAAAACAAATACACACACATACACACACAAAGAATACTCAGTAGTAGTAGATTATAGTGTAGCAGCATATTAAAACCTCAAAAAAATAAACTAGCTTTGAAAATTCTGTCCCTAGCCAACGAACAATTAATTAGATGCATTACATTTACACCCAAATCTTTCAAAATATGGCCTAAGTCTTTAGCATAATATACTCTCTGAATCCATGTCCCCTTCTGGGACTCACCCACCCACACCCACACAATTTATCAGGACTCCCACTATCAGAAAGGCAAAGCATAGCTAGTTTCTTTAGCCAAAAAGTTTTTATAACACATAGCGCGAAACTATCAAATTAATTCTAAGAAATGTTTGTCTAAACTTTACATACTATTACTTCCTCTTTTTTCACTACAACAACCAGAATCTCCTATTGGTAGTAAAGTCTTATCTCTCACATGTTTTGCATAAACGCTTAAATATTATTAGAACACAACTGCTAACACAACCATACTCAGTAATATAATTGCCTTACCTCTTTTTTAAGATGATCTGACACCAGGCTTTCTTCACCAACAGGGTAAGTATGAATTAGGACCAGCTCACATTTCTGGATCTGCATAAGACTAAAGAAACCAAAACATCTTGTTACAAAGCCATAATTCTACAACATGTAGCATCCAGAAAACTTGACAACTTATTCTTGGAATTTAAAGCCAGACAGGAGTACTCACTATGCACTGCAGCTTTCAATATCTCCATATATAAGCTTGGTCAGATTTCTATTTGCTGTATTTTACAGTATAAATTATACATGAAATGTTAAGATTTCTAAGATTTAAACTGAAATTTTAAAACATAGTTTCTGTAAGCTAAATGAACTCTAGTAGACAAATCCCAAGCCTGATGCAGTCTTTTAACAGAAAAGGATAATTTCCAAGTACAGTGGTACCTTGGCTCACGAACTTAATCTGTTCCAAGACTCTGGTCGTGACCCAAATTGGTCATGACCTAAGTCAAATTTTCCCATAAGGTTCAATGTAAATAAGGTTAATCCATTCTGTAACTATTTTTTTTAAATCACAAAAATTTGAAACAAAGTGACAAAGAACAAAGATCGTGGCCATCTCCCCTTGCCCACCCAGTGCACGAGCGCGCCCATCTCACTCCCCCGCATGACTGCAATCGTGCCCATCATTCCTGCATGACCGCACTGGGGATGGGGAGATGGCTGCGATTGCAATCATCACCTGATGTGGAGTTCGCAACCTGAGGCAAAATTTTTCTGAAATTTCTGTTCACAACCCAATTTGGTCATGAACTGAGGTGTTTGTGAGCCGAGTTACCACTGTATAACTTTTTATTCACCCAACTACTTTCAGAAGCATTTATTACAATACTGTTTTATTCCAGTGATGTATATCTAAATAATCTCTTACTGAAATAAATATTCTTCATGTTTTCCTACACTTCCTTGTCCAACTTTCCCTCAGTAAGAAAAACCAGATAGTAGCATCCCTCAACACATAGGGAATAGACTGGACTTCTCAAACTACTTGATGAATATGGGAAAAGACTGCAAGATCAGGACATGCTTAGTCTTGAGAAAAGATGACTAAGGAAGGATATGATAGCACTTTTCAAACACTGAAGAGACAGTCGTGCAAAAGAGGGTTGCAACCTCTTCATTACCACCCAAGACTGTGGGATATACAATAATAGGCTTACACTACAGGAAGGGAGATTGGACATCAGGAAAAATGTCCAAATTGTCAGTGCAGTCAGACAATGAAACGAATTCTTAGGTAGGTGTAGGTTCTCCATCACTGGCACTATTCAAGTAAAGATTGAACAGCCAACTGTTAGGGTTCTTTTAAATTAAATTTCTGTAATAATCAGGTGGGTAGACCCAACGGCCTGCCTACATGGTCCTTTTTAACTCTAAGAATTTATAAAATGACATGTGAAAATAAGGGGTTGAGTAAAAGCAAACTCCAGGATGCAGGTGGCGAAGTGGTTTAAGCTGCTGAGCTGCTGTGCTGGTTGACTGAAAGGTCGAGAGTTTGAATCTGCCCAACAGGATGAGCTCTCCTTGAATTGTCCCAGCTCCTGCCAGCCTTGCAGTTCGAAAGCATACAAATGCAAGTAGATAAAAAGGTACCATTTCGGTGGGAAGGTAAACAGTGTTCTGAGCACTTCAATGTTTAACCAAGCTGGCCACATGACCACAGAAACTGTCTGTGGACAAACACTGGCTCCCTCAGCTAGGAAATGGAGATGAGCACAGCCCCCAAGAGTCAGACATGACTGGACTTTAATGTCATGGGGAAACTTTTACCTTTAAAAGCAAACTCCAAACAAGAGTCTCTCATTCTTCACCCTTCTATGGAGACAGGTAAGGTGCTCTAAACCAAATCAGACCACTGGAAGATATTAGGCTATACTGATGCAAAGAATCTTTTCAACCCTACCAGATGTCAGAGACTGAATATGAAACTTTGAAGCATAAAATAAATGCTATACCATTGAGCTGTGGCTCCTGCAGTTCACACAGAAATTTCTTACCACCAAAAGGTCCTCAAAGGTTCTATTTTCAACAATGCAAATACAGCTGTTGTAAGAACGATCTAGAAGGAAGGAAACAGTCACAATACTACTGACTTGCACACTTACTGATCTGAGTTAGCTGCTAGCTTGTTATGCTCATGTATTGTTTCCTGGACAAACTCCTCAAGCATTCGTACATGGCTATCACTGGAAAAGGAGAGAAAAAGTCTTGACTTTAGAAAAACATGAAATCAATATAATATGAGAAAATACATATAGTCTTTTTTAATATACTGCTATTGCATTTCCTAGTGTTTTATCAAATTGAAACAGCTTTCCCCCCCTCTAACCCTTCACTGTTTCCTGCTCCAAATTAAATTTAGCCCATTTCAGTCCATGTCACTTTTGCTTGTGTTGCATTCTCTTTCTAAATTAAAGCGCATTTTTAAAACTGCACAAAAACATGAATTTAAATAAAAAATTCTCTCAAAATATGCATTTCGAGCTAAGAATTTAGTTGCCACACAGAGCCAGTGAACTGATCCTCACACTAGTCCAAGCAGTACAGATCAAGAAAAAATGATCATTTTCTTCTTCAAATGATCCTAGTACTATCAACCAGAAGCAGAAAGAAACCCATAAGAGCAATTAGAGAATCAAATAAGCAGCAATGATTAATAGAAATACCCACATATACCATAGATCATAATCCACTCATAATCATTTATATTTTGCCTCTTTTTTCCACAAGTAAAAAGTAGCTAATGATGTAATTAAGGGTATATTCCTGTGGCTGCTAAATGCTATCCCCTACCCCATTCACCAGGATGTCCTGACTCAATGACTGGATTTACACAACTGCAATGATTCATTGCCTCTTATTTAAGCCATAACAAGCTATAGTACCCACAGGCACCATCCTGAATATTGAAGCCATGATTTTAATATTCAGGCAAGAATGGGTTATCAAAGAGTTAAACAATGCTGTAGCCCATAGTTCTCAGGTCTGGGCAACTTGACAAAACATTGCTGTGGCCTGCATATTTAAAATGGCTGCCAGCACATCACAATCCACCATGACGTAAATAAACCAATAGCATGCTGTTTGATCATACTGACTGACGTTCTGTGTTTAGCTTTTTCAATCTTGCAAGAGTTGCTGTGAGAAAGCCATCTTTGCCAGCATACCTAATCCAGCTAAAATCTGAATTCAACCCACTATATTATGATACGTGATGTTATAAAAAATGTATTCTTCACTGATTTTTCTATAGTCTTTTTATGTTATCCTACCACATACAACAGAACATGTGGGTTATTCTAAAGATTCTTAAAAATGACAATTTTGAAGCTCAGTTCAAACTCTGACCACAAAATAGGCTCTCTATACGTAAAAGCAACTTAGTAGCCTGATTCCCTTGATATAGGCATGGGATTGACACCATCATTAGACACAATCTTTCAAAACAAGCAAAATAAGGTATTTATTAAGAAGCACTGTTTACGAAAGAGAATAAAAAGGGAATAAAAGGGACTGATACATTAACATTGTCAGTGCCACAAACCTCTTAGCATTAGTAATACAGATTATCCGTCCTCTGTTTCCAACACGGTCAGCATTCTCCATTAATAAGGTTCGGGCCTCATGCTGGTATTCAGTAATTTTACAGAGTGCTTCTACTGCTGCAACTAAACCATGAAGTATACTGCAGCATTCAGGATCTGCACGAGGATTAGGAGGTCCAACAGCTGCTAAGGCTGCCATTAACTGAGTAAGAAAGAAAGATGATGTGTTGGTAAATTTCAATCTTAATTCTTACAATTAAAGAGATTCTCTTAGACAAACAAACATTTCTTATGAGTTACTCCACACAGAAAATGAAATTACAGAAGAGATTCAAAATAATAATACTGTACAGAAGAGATTCAAAATAGTAATACTGTACTGTATTAGTATTTTGAATGTTTCTTCCCTATAAATCCCTTGAAATACGATGTTATATACTATGCTATATATTACTAGAAACTATTTCAGACTATAATTCTCTCAAGAACTCTACATATGCTATTTCTATTCTTTTGAAATCAAGTATTTTATACTGAGTATAACATTATATAATACTCATACTGTAAATAAACTTCTGCTTCAGATCACCTTTGTATGCAACATAAATGCTAGAATATTTACCTCTTGCTAAATTTATAAAAGACAAGGAGGAAAACTAAGTCAAGATCAGAACTTGCTTCCACTGGACTGTTGCTTCCCCCAGACTCAGATTACCCTGGATCACATAACCTCATACCATGTCATAGGGCTGAAGGTATCTCAAAACCTCCATACTCAAGTATTTTCATACACTCTTAGTGGAGAAAAATGCTCATTTTTCGAAGAGATAAGCATGAACAATATAAAAGTGCAAAATAAAGAGGCTGATAACTGCACTTTATACAAGATCATTACACCATAGGCAACTAGTAGGCAAATTTCAATTCATTTTTATGATCTACTACAGGTAGCCATCCCTTGCCCGACAAATTTTCTACAGCCACTGAACCAAATGAATTAATGCAAGAGGAAGGTGATGCAGTCTTAATATGTGGTCCAAAAGAAGCCAAACCTCTCTCACCAGAACTCTTTCCAAAGGCAATTGTTCCATTAGACTTCAGCATCAAGCTATTCAATAAATGCTAAGAGTAGTAGACTAAAACTGGACAAAATTCAGTCCCTATTCAGCCATAAAATTCATTTGGGTGGGTCAATACCTCTTAGCATAATTTATTTTACATAGTAGTTGTGAAGGTAACATGCTAATAGGCACAACTAGGTATACCACCCTGAGCTCTTCAGAGGAAAGGTAGAACATAAATAACCCAAAATTAAAAGGAAGCACAAAGATTTTTTTGTCACTTGTCAGTCACAATTCAGAGATAAAATGAATGCAGGATTGGGTAAAGAAAGAGCTCATATTTCACCTCTGTGAAAATAGTTTCTTCCAATGTTGAGTGCTCTGCCTCCCCAGAACTGTCTATTTGGCATTTTTTCATTAAATATTTCCTAACGAACCATGGCACCATAACAGTAATTCTCACCTTTTATCAATATTAGGAAACCACGGGTTGCAAATCATGATTGATCTGTCCCGAAGAAATCAGCTGCATCTAAGTTTAGCTTAGCCTGGACCCCACCTCATATTTTTTCTATTTGATTATTAAAAACATCTTCATAAAACCTAAGTACTAAATTGTACCTCCTGCAAATTTTGATCTTCTTGGTTCCAAGTGTTTAAGACATTCGCTCCAGAATCACTTACAATGAAGTTCACCTGTGTGTTTACAAAAGTAAGATCGTATTTGAAAATCTTGATAATGTAGCAATCAAGACTGCTCAAGCAAATATTTTCAAGAGGTTAGGCAAAAACCATTATCTGAACATTTCTTTCAAAGAACCTTAACTCCATTATGGTAGGATAATCTGGAGATATGCAGAACACTATAAAACCTAAACACTTAAGAGTCTTATTATGCTAATTTCTTAACAATTGAGTCCAAAGATCTGTGCCATTCCTTCAAGTGACATTCCCATTAATACAAGTTAATTTAATGTGAAAGTATCCATAAAACAGGTCAGGGAGGTACAAAACAGACTTAAGCATGTATACAGTTCTGTTAATCGAAATGGGTAATTTACATTTGCTTTCAGGCTTATAACCACAAGCATCCAAAAAGTAAAGTTTCTGCTTTAGAATATTCAATATTTAGAATATTGCTTTAGAATATTCAGTAATAGTACTGCTGCAGATCTTACATGTATATAGCTAAGTGATTTTTTTAAAAAAGTTAAGATTTTATCCTACTCTTATTAACATATGAAATTGTTTTTAGTAATCTGAACTATTTTATTGCATTGTGATGTTCTGGACTAAGTTGTTTTGAGGTTATTTTAGAAAACAAACAGGATATAAACAAGGCTCTAGTCCTAAACAGACTCATTAGGCATTAGGCCTTATTTACAATTGTTAAGGTGCTGATAGATTTTCTAATAAATATACAGAAAATGCAGTTGCTAATACTGAATCATAATACTTTCACAAAAGCAAATTTCTAGTCATGACTATTTTACAGAATAAAGTGATGACAATTTATTATCTCAATATTCCAGCAACTATTGAGATCTTTTAAGTTCAGTGCACTATCCAGTGGGAGCCTTACGCTTCAGCCATTTTGTCTTGAGCTCACAAACAGAATTGACTGTTTCAGGCAAAAATGAAAAACCAGTGAGTTATCTAAGTTCACAGTACAGGAACTTATAATTACACTGTTGGTATGATGCTTAGTTACAAAAGATAAATAGCTACTTACCAGTTTTTTAAAAGGAAATATATCATACATTATTCTACAATATTCCATGGAAGATTCTACAGAACAAGTCCATAGTGATCTTGATATAGGTGCAAGCGGAATGATTCCTTGAGTCCGATTTTTTATTAACATATCAAATTCCACATGCTGTTTGCAGGATTCTGCCATATAAGGGCAGTGATCCACCACAAAAACTGTTTTGTGTGACTCTGAAAAAAGCTTCATTTTCTTTCTAAAACAAATGAATGACATAATTAGGAAAACACTATACAAATCAAAAGGATTAACCTAATACATGAAGTCAATATTGCAAGAATAAGTTACAAGAATTAAAAAGATATTAAGACCCTTCATAAAAGATGTCTCCTTAAAACATCTACAAATAATATTGCAAACAGAATTAAAGCATTTTATTGAATTACATAAAGACAGGTATAGTACAAAAAGCAAAATATTGGAATACAGTATTTGTTCTCAAATATTTAGCTTACAGTAGTTTAAATTCTTAGGCTAAAATTCTACACCACTTACATGGAATAATTTTTACTAAAGTAATCTGAACTTATTTCTGAGTAAACATTCGTATGATTGCACTGTTAAAAGCACTGAGAACCTTGGTTCAGTACCTTTGCACTGTTATTCCTGCCCACATTGACTTTGCACAATCTTGCTTCATGCACCAAATCTATATTGAGGCTTTTATCAAATTTGACATTTCTCCTAATTAGTGAAGACCTTTTAAGATAATCAAATTGTCTCCTACAAACATGAACTTATTTCATTACCCATTTTCTCCTTCCCAAACATTTTTGAACAACTTGAGGGTTGAAATACTGCATAGCTGAACTAATGAATTATTCTTCTGGAGGACTATTCAGCAAATTTCCAAACTATTGATCAGATTTGTTTGAAGCCAGGAACAATGTTCTTCAACAGTTTAAAAAATTAAGACCCTAATTCAGGTGGCAATTGTATTCACATTGTGTCTAATATTACTCACTGGCAACAGTTTGTCTTTAAAAAATGAGTTGCAGATTCTTATTCAAATTTATTTATTTATTTGGGATACTTGTATTCTGCCCCATTCGCATAAGCCTCAGGGCAGCTTCCAGCAAGTAACAATACAAAAATATAAAAATTGGACACATCCAGGCAATAAATAAAACCAATAAATAATTTAACAATTAATTAAAATAACATTTACATAAAAAGGTCTTGGCCTGGTGCCAAAAAACAAATAATGACAGCACCAGGCGGACCTCACTGGGGAGTGCATTCCATAAGTGGGGCGCCACCGCAGAGAAGGCCCTCCTCCAGGTATTCACCCTCCTAATATTTTTCACTGAGGGTTCCTGGAGAAGGGCCTCTGCCACTGATCTTAGAGGGCGGGAGGGCAAGTATGGACGCAGGCGCTCCTTCAGATACCCAGGTCCAAAACCGTTTAGGGCTTTATAGGTAATCACCAGCACCTCGAATTGAGCCCGGACTTCAAAGGGGAGCCAGTGAAGCTGACGGAGGACTGGGATTATATGAGAACAACGCCCATTCCCCGTCAGCAACCTGGCAGCTCTATTTTGCACCATCTGAAGTATCCGGACTGTCTTCAGGGGCAGCCCCATGTAGAGCGCATTACAGAAGTCTAATCGGGAAATAACCAATGCCTGTATCACTGTTGCCAGGCAGTCGTCCTCCAGGTAGGGATGCAGCTGATGGATTAGCTGAAGCTGATTGAAAGCGCTCCTCACCACAGCCGACACTTGAGCTTCCAAAGTCAGCTCTGGGTCGAGAAGCACTCCCAAGCTGCAGATCCTGTCCTTCAGAGGGAGTGCTACCCAAATCAGGACAAGGTCCAGGTCCCCCACCCTGGAGCCCGAACCACCCACCAACAGGACCTCCGTCTTGTCTGGATTGAGCTTCAGTTGGTTGGCCCTCATCCAGCCCATTACCTTGGCCAGGCACCGGTTCAGTACAGCCACTGTCTCACCTGGAATGGTTGAGAAAGAGAGGTAGAGCTGGGTATCATCAGCAGTGAATAGGCAGCGAACTGGATTTCCCCAAAGCCGCCTTTAACAGAGCAATCCAATCTATGTCTACTTGAAAATATATCCTACCAAATTCAATAGGATTTATCACCAAGTAATTAGGAATGAAAGCAAAATCATAATTTCTTTTAGTCCCCCCAAAGTTTTTTTTAACTTGCTTTGATAACTCTATACCACCCCTTCCCGTATGCTAAGATGTACAATTTTACAATCACAGAACACTAATAGCAACAGCAGTTGCTGAGAGAGAGAGAGAGAGAGAGAGAGAGAGAGAGAGAGAGACGAAACTCTGAAAAGACAGATTTAAACGAGCAACAGAATGAATTAGCACTCTCAAACCTTTGTTTTCTTAGACAATTCCCATCTACATAGGAGTTCCTGTGAAAGAAGCCTCTCCCCCTTTGTTGGCATTTTTTTGAGTTACAACATACTTTAAACTTTAAAAATAATTCATAGTTGGGACTTGCATGGATCCTGTAAGCAATCGCCTATTTTATTGGCCTACATTAAAGCAGACAGAAGAAAAAGTTTGATCCCCCAATCTTGGTAGATTTCTGAAAAGGCGCTCTGTAGACCCAGAAAAGAGGTCTCATTGCGCAAGTGCTGTTACTCAAAGGCGTGTTTATTTCGTGCAAGCCTTAATGAAAAGAACATTTCTATCCATTTTCAGAGTCTGCAGTGTAACAGTCGCGCATATTCTATCGATTAGAAAGAGTGTAGGGAAAAAGGCTCCCCCATTCCCCCGGTCTGGTCTGAAAGCTGCGGCCAAGGGATCAGTTTCTATCCCCTGGAATACAGTATTTGTTCTCAAATATTTTCTATATGGAACCGGGGTAAAATACAAGGGGGAACCTGGGGCTGCACAGCACGGGGGGGGGGGGCAGTGTTTTGGTTTGCACTGCAGACGGTCTCGGAGAGTTTCTTACTGTAGTCTGCCGCGTCTCTCAGGAACCGGGTCCTGACATCAGCAGCACTTCTAGTGCCCCAGCCCAGGCCTAGCAGTCCCGAAGAGAAAGAGGAGGATTATTGCGCAGAGGTAAACAAAACGGCAGGGGCCTCCGCGGCTTCCATTTTCCCAGGCAGCCCTTGAACTCGTCTCTCCTCTGCAGAACTGCTTATCAGAAAATGGGCCAATCGCTACCCTAACGCCCTCCCGGCCTCGCTGTCGTCCCTCCGGAGCGTTCACGCCAGCCGGCAAACCACTGCTTCCCACTGTCGCGAGATCCAGGGAGTTGCTTCCCATTAAGCCAGCTGTAGACATAAAAACCTTAGAGGAGTGACGGTTTCCTGAGGACGCAGTTTCCTGGTTCTTTTCTACGAGAAAGTGAAGCGCTGCCACATAAAACAACGGAGTGATGCCAAACCTGGCCGGACAGTAGCGTGTTTCGCCACAACCCAGCGCTCGGTTCCATGCATAAACCTGTTGTTCCCTTAAATTGCAAGCGCAAACTTCCGTTCTCCAAGCTGAAGTAATACCTGATTTATAGGCAGTACGAATGCCCGTGGGAACACACAGCTGCACAATCTCAGCAGCACTGAAGTTCTGAATCTCCCTGCTGTCTTGATATGCAGCGGACAATTCCACCCAAGACAGAAGTCTAAAATAAAGCTTAAAGTCAATCCAGAGGCTATGCTCCAACATAAATCTTTTTGCATAAGTTTACAATACCACCTTAGTCTAAGCCTCGTTAGTGAAAGATCCTCGCGATATTGTAACGCAACGATTTATTGGCTGAAAATGCTGCAGGGCGTTTCGTCTCGCCCGCCCCGCTATTCTCTTTAGCGAAAGATGAGGCGGGGAGGAGTTAGGGATGGAAATCTCGACATATTCGATGTCTCCCTCCTCTTCGCGCTCAGGGGGAGCTGAGGTAATAATTCGCTTGTTAAAAATCCGTCTCGCGATGTTTAAGAACAAACCACGCACCAGGAGTTAGGAAGGAAGGCGAAGTCTCGCGATAACCGGTCGTGGATCTTGGCTCATCTCTTGACCGCCAGGTAGTGACTGCTGTGTGCGAGTGGCGGTCTCATTCTTCTCACCTTACCTACCTGCCGGTTTCCTCATGAGGCCGTTCGGCAGGCCGGCGCTTCCTCTGTCTTTCTCTCGGACTGCCGCCATTTAAGAACGCGGCGCAGCAGACGGAAGGTGCAACGGGATAGCGGGGGTCTCTCCACATCCCCCAGCTCGGTCCGGTGGCTGATGAGGAATGTGCTGTGACCATCGGTGAGTGCGTGTGTGTTTGTGCGCGCGCGCGCTCGCTGCCCGCTTGTCTGTCTACATAGTGGTGTGTATGAGGAGAGCGAGGGGTTGTTGCTCTTTGATTGGCTCGCGGGGAGGCAGGGGAAGGAGCGCGCGGGCGAGCGAGCGCCCGCGAGCGGGCAGGTGCCTCCCGCCCCGTCATGGAACGCGCTCCGCTGGCATGTCGGCGTCTTCGGTGAAACGGCTCTTTCGAACAGAGGTCGGCACGCTCGGGGCGAGCAACCTTAAGCCTCTTCTTGTTCGGGGAGGGAATTTGTGGGATGTGGCAGGTTTGGCCCCCGCGAGGCGAGAACAAACTGATGCAGAAAATACCGTGCTTGAAGAGAAAGATGTCAGGAAGCTTCGATTACCCAGGAATAATGGACTGTGAGGGGCATTCGTGGTGTATCCCTTGCATCAAGCGTAATATCCTCTCCTGGCCTGACGAGGCAAACAGCTATTGTCACAGTAGGTGGGAATTCCAAGATGCTACTAGATCAGCCTTTGGCAAAGAACGTTGCACGGTGGCCTCTCAGTTCACATGTTTGGCAGCTGCACCATTGCTATTAATGGTGTATAGAGTCCTAGCATAGTTGGATTGAAAGGGGTCTGTAAGGCCATTGGGGACAACCTGGTGTTCTGTGCAGGATTTTCAAGTTAACTATCCCTAACAGATGGCTGTCCAGCTGCATCTTGGATGCTTCCAGCGTGGGAGAGCCCACAGCCTCCCTAAGTAATTGGGTCAATTGTCACATTGCACTGACAGTCAGGAAGTTTTTCTGATGTCCAGCTGGAATCTGACTTCCTGTAATTTGAGTCCATTATTCTGTGACCTGCATTTTTGGACTGTCGAGGGATGGTCCAAGGAATTACAGACCGGTTCAGCTACTTGAAAACACTATTAAAGATTGAATCACTAAGCACATAGAGGGACAAGCCCTGCTTTAAAAAAATTAGCATGGCTTCGGCAAGGGGAAGTCATGTCTCACTAACCTATTACAGATCTATGAGAGTATCAGTAAGAATGTAAACAGTGGTGATCCAGTGAACATTGTTTACTTGGACTTCCAGAATACCTTTGCCACAGTCCTGACCAAAGGCTCCTGAGCAAACTAGGCTGTCATGGAATAAAAGTGTGTGTGTGTTGTGGGGGGGTCCTCTTATGGATCCCTAACTTGTTGAAGAACAGAAGAGAGAAGATTGGAATAAATGGCAATTTCTCCCAATGGAAAGATGTCACCAGTGGAGTCCCTCAGGATTCTGTAATAGGACCAATGCTTTTCAACCTATTCATAAATTATCTGGAATTAAGAGTAACTAGTGAGGTGGCCTAGTTTGCTGATTACACTAATTTTGTAGGGTGAGTGCAACTAAATGGGATTGTGAGGAGCTCCAAAAGGATCTCCAAGCTGGTAGAACGGGCTTCAAAATGACAACTGTAGGTCAGTGTAAGCAAGTGTAGAGGAGTGCATGCTGGGGCAAAAAACCCCCAACTTCAATTATGTTCTAGTGGGATCTGAACTAGAAGTGACTGCAAGAAAGGGATCTTGGGGAAGAAGTGGAAGGCAAACTCCATGCAGGGCATCATTAAGAACAGAAGAGAAAATAGAACTGCCAAAATCTTACTTCTCTTATACAAAACCTTATTGTGAGCACAATTTGAAATATTGTGTTCATTTCTGGTCACCTTACCTGAAAAAGGACATTGTTGACTTTGAATAGATGCAGAGAGGAGCGACTATGACAATTGGGACTGTTCAGCTTAGAGAAAAGGCAAGTAAGGGGAGACATGATGGAGGTGTTTAAAATAACAGACAATGAGGAGAAAAGTAGAGAGGAGACATTTTACTCCCTGTCCCATGACACCTGAATCCAGGGTCATCCCATGAAACTGACTGGTAGGAGGTTTAGGACAGATAAGTACTTCTTCACACCATGTATAGTTAAACAATGGAATTTGCTGCCATGGGAAGTGGTGATGCTTGCCAATCTGGATGCTTTAAAAGGGGATTGGACAGATCATGACGGGGAGGCTATCAGTGGCTACTGGCCTTGATGGCTGTGTGCTACCTCCTTTATCAGAGGTGGCATGCCTGCATACACCAGTTGTTGAGGAACTGGCAGGAGGAGATCTTATACCCATCCTGCTTGATGGTTCCTGTGGACAGCTGGTTGCCTTCGTGTATACCAAGTACTGGGCTAGGTGGATCTTTTGTGTGATCCAGTATGGCTTTTCTTATGTTCCTGTGTACTCAAGTTGAAGTCTAACTAGTGCTGAGGAACTAGCACTTCATATGATTTGGAAGTGATACTTCTATTAATGCAACATAAAGTAGCATTTGTCTTTTTTACAGCCACTTCACTTTGTTGACTCATTCAGCTTGTGATCATATTCAGCTTGTAATAATTCCAAAATCCTTCTCATATGTATTGTTGAGCCAAGCATCCCTCATTTCTTGTAACTGTGCATTTTGGTTTCCTTTTCCTAGGTGCAAAACTTTACATTTACCTTGTTAAATTCCATTCTGTTGTTTTCAGCCCAGTGCTCCAACCTATCCAAAAGGCATTGCATTTAGTTTCTGTCTTCTAGAGTATTAGCTTTCCACCCAATTTTGTGTCAGCTGAAGATTTCATAAGCATTCCCTGTACTCTCTCATCCAAATCATTAATTAAAATGTTGAAGAACACTGGACCCAGGACTGAACCCTTCAGTACTCCACTTGTTACCTCTCCTCAGATAGAAAAATGTCATTTGCACAACCCAACAAGCTCTGCTGGACTTTTTTTTTTTTTACTACTGTTGCTCTGTTATGTCATCTGAACCCTATCATTGAATTTCACAGGGTGTGCTTGGTTTGTGGAAAGCACAAAAAGAAAGGGTTTCCACAGACTATTCTATGGTTCCTTAGTACCACAATGACTTGTTGTGTTGTCTGAACATGGACAACACAACTCATCATGGTACTGAGGCCTGAACTAGACATTCTCTTGTCAAGAGTGGGCTGTTGCCTCTCTTGCCAGTTGGCTAGCCAGAGAGCACTGCTGTTTTGTGCAGCTGTCAGAGAAATCCCCAGTCTACTTGCCTCTTGTCCTAAAAGTCTTCTTTGGCGCATGAGTGGAAAGAAGCTGCACTGCTTAGCTTATTCCTCCACTGTCCCCCCATGCACATGCCTGAGAGAAATTTCGCACATGCATGAGCATAACAGGTAAGAGTCAGCTGGGGGTTGTGCGCAATTGGGGGTTGCACCACTCACCTGGTTCCTTCTGTTCCCCTTGTGTACTTAAGAGAAGCCCATGCCTTTTGCCTGAGCATGGATCAGGCACACTCCTTCCCCCACTGCTCCAGAAAGTCCCCTCTGAAGAAGAATGTGAGGATGTCTGTTCAGCTCCTTCATTCTCTCTGCTGTGCTTCAGAACATTAGCCCTATTCATACAATAGAGACTGTTTGGCAAAATTAGTGAGCCAAATTCAACTCATGATCACATTTGCCAAAGTTAGGAGCCTCATTGGTCCCTGTAGTGTGTCTTAGGATACTGCCTAAGCAGCAGTCCCCAACCTTTTTGGCACAGGCGATTGGTTTTGTGGAAGACAGTTTTTTCACAAACCAGGTGAAGGGATGATTGAAACACACTACATTTATTGTGCACTTTATTTTTATTATTACATTGTAATATATAATGAAACATAAAACCATAATGCAGAATCAGTGGGAGCCCCCCCCCCCCCCCGCAGCTCAGCCCATATCTGCTTCCGAGTTCCCTCACCTCTCGCATACATGCTGCCCTGCTTCTCCACACCACTTGCCGCCAGGCGCTGCTGCTGCTATCTCCGCTCCTTCCTTCTTTCAAGGCCCAAGACCCTAAAGGGTCGTAATGCTAATCTGTATTTGCAGCCACTCCCCAATGGTGATACTAGTACTGGGGAGCAGCTGCACATACAGATGAAGCTTCACTCACTTGCCAGCCTCTCACCTCCTGCTGTGTAACCCAATTCCTAATAGGCCACAAACCGGTACTGGTCCATGGCCCAGGGGTTGTGGGCTCCTGGCCTAAAGGATTTAAAGGGAAGGAGAAGAGTTGCCTCCATGAGCCCAATTATCTTTCAGGCACATTGAGCTAAAAAGCCCTGAACCAGGGTTGCTTCTTGTGACACATGAACCCAATCTTTGAGTCTGATTCTGTAATCATCTGTGGATCCACCTGATCTAGCCCACTTTTAGTTTGCTAATCAAGTTATCCTGGAACATTTTGTCAAAAGCTTTGCTGAAGACAAGATATATTATGTCAATAGTATTCCAGCAGTCCACAGGGAAAGTTATCCAATCAAATATGAGATCATATTAATCTGGCAGGATATGTTCTTCACAAATCCATCTAGTAATCTAGATTACAAGAAATCTAGTAATCACTGCAGTGTTTTCAAGGTGTTTGCAAATTGCCTGCTTTATGACCTGCTCCAGAATTTTCCTGGGGATTGATGTCGGACTGACTCATGTACAATTCCCAGCTTCCTTCTCCCTTTTTGAAAATAGGAACAACATTAAGTCACTTGGCACATCACCCATGCTCCATGATTTTTCAAAGATAATTGACAGTGGTTCTGAGAATTCTTCTGCCAGTTCCTTTATTACTCTAGGATGCAATTCATCAGGATGTGGAGATTTGAACTCATTCAAAGCAATGTGGTGTTCCTTGCCATTTGATTTGTTTAGAAGCAAGGATTTGCATACTAATATATCATGTGTTGGTTACATTATTAACTTTATGTAATTTCCCCTGCAGATGATATAGTGAAGGGAGAATTGTTCATGAAGGATTATACCAGAATAAATTTGTTAAAATTGCCACAAGATTCTTTTTGTAGCAAAAACAATAACAACCTTTGGATACTTTTAAGTGCAGACTTAAATGATAGGTGCACATCAACAGGAGAAGAAACCTACATTAAAAGTATAAATCGGTGATCTGAGGTTCTTGTGTTCAGTCGTCCTTGTTCAAGAGATTGTGTCAGTCAAGCTGGCTAGAATGCTGCTGGTCTCTCTTCTCTCCTTCAGATTTGCCACAATTTTTGACTCTAATAACCAGGTATTATTGTCAGGGACTCTAAACTAGAATGGCCTAAAGGTCCCTTTGTCCAACCATGAGAGACAACAAGCCAACAGGAAGATTAAAAAAACAAAAAACAAAAGCTTTTTATTGAAACATACAACAATACAGACCACTTCATTTTTCCTTCATAAGAAACCAGCATCATACACTAACTAACAAGCCACATGTTTTAATATCTTTAAGAGCAAACTCAGTCATTGGTCATTTTAGCTGTTAACCATCCATACATTGATCCTGCCTTCTGCACCTTGCTATCTAGAGAAAGTAAGCCACATTCCATACTTATCTTAACAGTGAACAGTTAAACACAAACTTAGGTGCCAGCAATTGCCTTTTCCATGCATGACTGCTTTCTCAGGTTGGCACACCATTATATATTTGACTTTAATAACTTTGTCGCTGTGAAGAATCCTTGTGGGTTACATGACAGACCGGATGCCACACATTACTATGTGACATGCCAGAGGAAATTACAATAAATAAAGTAATTGTGGATCAAGTTGTTGAATTCTCATTTGCTTTGTTGTTGTTGTTGTTAGTCACGAAGTCGTGTCCGACCCATCGTGACCCCATGGACAACATTCCTCCAGGCCTTCCTGTCCTCCACCATCCCCCGGAGTCCACTTAAGCTCACACGAACTGCTTCACTGACTCCATCTAGCCATCTCATTCTCTGCCATCCCCTTCTTCTTTTGCCATCTGTTGTTCCCAGTATTAGGGTCTTCCCCAGGGATTCCTTCCTTCTCATTAGGTGGCCAAAGTATTTGAGTTTCATCTTCAGTATCTGGCCTTCTAAAGAGCAGTCAGGGTTGATCTCCTCTTGGATTGACTGGTTTGATCGCCTTGCGGTCCAAGGGACTCGCAGGAGTCTCTTCCAGCACCACAATTCAGAGGCCTCAATTCTTCGGTGCTCAGCCTTCCTTGTGGTCCAACTTTCACAGCCGTACATTGCAAGTGGGAAAACCATAGCCTTGACTATACGCACTTCTGTTGGCAGGGTGTCTCTTCTTTTTAGTATGCTGTCTAGATTTGCCATAGCTTTCCTCCCCAGGAGCAAGCGTCTTTTAATTTCTTGGCTGCAGTCCCTGTCTGCAGTGATCTTGGAGCCCAGGAAAATAAAATCTGTCACTACCTCCATTTCTTCCCCATCTGTTTGCCAGGAACTGAGAGGACCAGATGCCATGATCTTAGGTTTTTTTATGTTGAGTTTCAAGCCAACTTTTGCACTCTCCTCCTTCACCCATATCAAGAGACTCTTTAGTTCCTCTTCACTTTTTGCCGTTAGAGTGATATCATCTGCATATCTGAGGTTGTTGATATTTCTCCCAGCAATCTTAATTTCAACTGTTGATTCATCTAGGCCCGCCTTTCTCATGATGTGCTCTGCATATAAGTTAAATAGGCAGGGCGACAGTATACAGCCTTGCCGAACTCCTTTCTCAATTTTGAACCAATCAGTGGTTCCGTGTCCAGTTTTCACTGGACACATATGCTTCTTGACCCACATATAGGTTTCTCAAGAGACAAATAAGATGGTCTGGTACTTCAATCTCTTTAAGAACTTGCCACAATTTGTTGTGATCTACACAATCAAAGGCTTTAGCATAGTCAATGAAGCAGAAGTAGAGGTTGTTCTGGAACTCCTTAGCTTTCTCCATGATCCAGCGTATGTTGGCAATTTGATCTCTAGTTCCTCTGCCTCTTCGAAATCCTGCCTGTACTTCTGGTAGTTCTCAGTCCACATACTGCTGGAGCCTAGCTTGTAGGATTTTGAGCATAACTTTGCTAGCATGTGAAATGAGTGCAATGGTGAGGTAGTTTGGCATTGCCCTTCTTTGGGATTGGAATGTAAACTGACCTTTTCCAATCCTGTGGCCACTGTTGAGTTTTCCAAAGTTGCTGGCATATTGAGCATAGCACTGTTACTGCATCATCTTTTAAGATTTTGAATAGCTCATCTGGAATACTGTCACATCCACTAGCTTTGTTGTTGCTCAGACTTCCTAAGGCCTATTTGACTTCACATTCCAGGATGTCTGGCTCGAGGTCAGTGGACCACCCCATCTTGGTTATCAGGGATGTTAAGCTCTTTCTTGTATAGTTCTTCTGTCTAATCTTGCCACCTCTTCTTAATCTCTTCTGCCTTTGTTAGGTCCTTGCCATTTTGTTCCTTTATCACGCCCACCTTTGCATGAAACGTTCCCTTTATATCTGCAATTTTCTTGAAGAGATCTCTGGTCCTCCCTATTCTGTTGTTTTCTTCTATTTCTTTGCACTGTTCATTTAAGAAGGCATTCTTATCTCTTCTAGCTATTCTCTGGAATTCTGCATTCAATTGGGTGTATCTTTCTCTTTCTCCCTTGCCTTTCGCTTCCCTTCTTTCCTCAGCTATTTGTAAAGCTTCCTCAGACAGCCATTTTGCTTTCTTGCATTTCTTTTTCTTTGGGATGGTTTTAGTTGCTACCTCTTGTACAACTCATTTGCTTGAGCGATTGCAAATATTTTCAGGCTGTATGGATTGTGACTGTCAGTGAAGTTCTACCATGTTTACAATGCTGGCATTTGGCAGATGTGTAGAAACACTGCAATCTGCATAAGCTATTGTAAAATAGTGATTTATGTAATAGATCTGCAGTGATATTAATTTTTTTGAAATCATATTAATATTTTGTTTCTCTACATATTTTTGTAAGAGCCAATTCATATGTTTGCTTTTTATGGGTATCTAGATGTGGGAGTCAAAGAAGCAGAATGTATAATGCATTTTCAGTTACATATAGTAAGATCCAGTTATTTCACAATGATTTTAGTAGACATGTTTACTCTATTCTGCAGTGCTTAATATAGTAGTAGTTTAGTCATTGTTTTATACATTTATGCAAATATCCCTTTTGGATTGATAATTGACATTACTGGCTCTCAGAACAGAAGTATTAATTAGAAATGTCTGTATTCTTCATTCCACATTACAGGCGGTGTCCATACCTCATTTCAGAACTGGTATTTGAAGGTTGCAATGCCAGCACTATTTGGACACAAACATTCCAATGTGATTCCGTGGTGCAGCTATTCCAGATTGGGTGTGGGAAGCTTTGATTCAAGTTGTAGCTCAACAGTGGACTTGCTGAGTAGTCCTAGTGACTATTTCAACTAAGAAAATCTCATATAACACCAACAGCTCCATGACATAACCAAGCCAGCTTGTAAGCCTGGCAGTTGCCCTTCACACTCACTCATATGGTTTTCTTTTAGAATTGTGCCTGTGTTTAAGGGTGTTTTCATAAGTGATGTAAACTAGGGCAATCCTATGCACACGTACCTCAGAGTAAATCCAATAGAGTTCATTGGACCTTGCTTTCAAGTAAATGTTGTGTTGGAATCCTTGATGCAGGATAGAAATGAAAGGAACCCATGAAAATTGGATATAAGTTTCCATCACTGTAACTACTAAAATTAACAAGATAGCCAAAATCAATTTAAGTATTACTTGTGAAATAAGCTCTTTTAGAATCTGTTTTGTAAGATGGCATTGATAGGGACCACTCCAGCAGCTTTATCAGGAGAATTAGTTAGGTCAGGATTAAGAGCAGTTCATAATAAACCTACATCCCTAAGTTTACTTACTTAGAAGTAAGGCCTGTTAAAATCATTGAGATTTCATTGTCTTGTAAGAAAGTACAAAATTGAGTATAAAATATTGAGTAGTATGTGAATATTTTTATGCCTTAATTCTGGACATGTCTTCATAATTACTCTGCTTGTTCAATATGTTCCTTGATATATTTTAGCTGATTAGGTTGGTGGTGGTTCTCATAAATCTGTTTTTTTCCACTGTGCATCTTGATTTTTTTTGAGCAACTGTTGCCAAATTAGAAATAAATATATTCCTATACTGTGGATCATCCATAGTAGACTGGTCAGCAGTTAAAAAGGTGACTCCATGCAGACTTTGCCTGCTACTGATTGTTCACAATAGTAAGGATCAGAGGATCCCATACCTATTAAAATGCTTTCTCAGATTGAGATGAAATAAGTTTGAATATTTCAGAGACTAGAAACATACTCAATACATTTTTGGAGTTGACAACATGATGTTGGTATTATGTAACAAATCTCTTGATTTATTTTATTTTATTTAGAAATGAGTTGCACAATTGAGAAGGCCTTAGCTGATGCAAAAGCTCTAGTGGAGAGATTGAGAGAACATGACAATGCAGCAGAAGCTCTGATTGAACAAACTACAGCTCTCAACAAACAAGTGGAAGCAATGAAGCAGGTCTGTAGTTTTAATTGTTCTTTTTCAAAAGCTGACTGCTTAAATATGACTATTTCCAGATTTTTTGCAGAGACCAAAGGAGTAAAATGCATCAGGCAGTTCACTATATTGTTACAGCCTATGAGAAATGCTGTCTTATTGGCTGTATATCTGTGTGTTATAATTGAAAAGGACTTTATAGCTTTTTTAACATTTGAAACCAGTTGAAATGATACACTGTTTAAGAGTCTTCTAAATTTGTATATATCCAGACTTAACCTTTAGATTTTTACATAATATTGCTGATTGTTTAGTTGGAGTTCCAGAAGGCTTTTCACAAAGTCCTGCACCAAAGACTCCCGATCAATCTTAGCAGTCAGGGAATAAGAGGAGGGGGTTCCACTATGAATCAGTAATTGGTTAAAGGACAGAAAGCAAGAATGAATTATAAATTCCTCCAGTGGAGGGAAGTAAATATCTTAGTAACTTACAGGGATCTATATTGCAACCAGTGCTTTTCAAATTTTTCATAAATGATCTGGAATTAGGAGCAAGCAGTGTAGTGGCCAAGTTTGCTGGCCAAGTTTAACCACACCAAATTATCTAGTGTGGTTAAAACAAAGAGGGATTCTGGAGCTCTAGACTGAAGAATGGGCATAAAAATGGGAAATGTCAGCAGGTGTAAAGTGATGCAAATTAGGACAAAAAAAAATCACACTTCCTGTATAAACTGATGAGAATGTGGACTAGCAATCACTGACCAAGAAAGAGATTTTGGGATTGTGGTGGACAACTTAATGAAAACATCAAACAACTACACTTAGAATATTGTATATAATTCTAGTCACCACACCTAAAAAGGCTAATTTAGAATTAGAAAAAATGCAACAAAGGGCATTGAAAATAATCAAAGGGCTGGAGCAATTTCCCCATGAGAAGAGATTGAGACGTCTGGCATGGTTTAGCTTAGAAAAAAGGGGAGTAATAGGAGACGTGACAGAGGCATACAGAATGGTGTAGAGAAAGTAAATGAAGAGACCATTTTCCCTCTCCCATATACTACTGTGTGTCTTTTGTTAAAGTTCTTCATTGTATAATGTATTTACAAGTGAAGCACATAAAATCAAAGCTTTTGGCAGTCAGTAGGAATAATTGATTTGTCTGTAAATGGATCTCACTACTGTACATTTTGAAAAGTTGCAGTACATCTTTTCTTGCTGGGACTTGAATATATATTCTTTCTAATGTTAGTCTTCATGAACATGTTTATCTTTTATTAATTTTGTAAAATTTTAAGTATTTATATTATGCTTTTCATCCAGGAAAATAATGTAAATTACATTTAAAATACCCACTAAAATAGCAGTATAAAACAAAATGGGCATGTGAGCAAACAGTCTATTTTCTCCAAAGATTTCTTAAACAGTAGTGCTGTAACCTGCTATTTAAAGCATGTTCACAGAGAGGATCAGATTAGTTGTCTTTGAAAGACAGTTCTACAATTTAGGCACCACCTCTGAGAAAGAGCCCTGCCTTTTGTATCTTTTATATCTACAGCATTTATTTTGCATATATCTAAACAGACTGTATGTTTGCATTAAATTTCTGTCTGACGCATTTTAAATGTTTTTCTTTCTTTCTGTACACCATAAGTATATATCCACCCATCAACAGAGAATGAAGTTAACTCTTGCCCATGACCTCATATATTATAATACATTTGTTAAATTTTAAGGTGCCACAAGACAATGAGCCAGTTTTCACATAATGCAAAGCCACCACAGGTGAATTTCCCCATGGGGCTTCCTGTTCAGGTGGCAGTTTCTATTTTTAATTTTCAAGCCACTTTGGGGGCATGTTGTAGCTTGTTACTTGCAAATTCACTAGTACTGGGATGTTGAAGTGTGGAGAGGCATTCCAAATCTCTTCGGCAATTTTAAGGTTGCTTGTCCGTCACCCCAACAACCCATCCTTACCTAGTTCACCCATAACGGCATAGTATAGCAAGCTCCAATGCAGCTTGAATATTGAAAATGGCCACCATAACAAGAAGCCCCGGCAGAAAATTCACCTGCTTTCATTTCTTGTTACATTTAAATTCCTCTTACTTCTAGGTCCACTGGTGAACCAACCATAAGTACCTCTTTTATGTTTGAGTTAAGTTTCATTTGAGTTAAGTTGAGTTAAGTATTCATTTTTGGAATATATTGTAAAACTTCAATTTATTCACATTTTGTTTTATTTTTTAATCTAAGATTACACTTACAGTGTATTTCCACGTAAATTCAATTAGATAACGAGATCTACTTCTAAGTAAAAGTACTTGGCTATATACCTTACATATCATTTCTCTAACAGTCCAATTCTGTGGGCACCTGGAAAAAGCTGGTGCTGTAACTTCATTCCTGTTCAGGCTACTTGCTATCCTATATATCAGGTGGCACCTTTTAGTCCATAAGTGTGGCATTTTCTGTGTGCAGTGGAATTGTGTTCAATGTGTTTCTCTCACATTTCTGTTTCACCAATCCTCTCCTTTTATTATATTTAGGTTAGAATCCCCAAGTGGGTCCAGCTGAATTAATTGGTGTGTTGCAGACAGTTGGTAGTTTATACTCTCTCCTGCACTATGTAGGAACTGTTTGGCTGATGTGCTTTGATATTTGAAAAAATATTAATGAATTATTAATCATGCTTTGTCATCCCATCATTGTGCAAGTGATTGTTCTTGGTACCATGTTTTTAATAAACCCGCAAAGGGTACTAATCTACTTGCCTATATGTATCTCTTGCTATTTGTGGCACACTGACATACAGCCAAAAGTAAATCTCTTACCAAAAGAAATCGCTTCCTGTTTACTTGGAGGTGAATCTCGGTGCAGATAACAAAGCAATAATTTAAACTTCTTGCCTGATTCTTTGTTCAGAAAATATTTTTGCACAGCATTCTACACTGTAACTGCACCAATGATATAGTTCTACTATCTTATGCTTGTGCACTGCTACAGTTATGCATGTTTTGCTGCAGCCTACCCACACTTGTTATTGTGTGGATGGAATGACCCTTGCATCCAGCTATACTCACTTTTTGCTTTCATGCTTTTCAAAGGCAGAATACTGTGAAATTGACTGATCAGGCTTTAATCAGTAAACTAGTTGAACTATTTTAATTATGTTGATTTCATCAGAACATTACTTAAATATTTTAAAACTTCATTTATTTTGCATTTTAATGAGTGTTGTGTGTCTGTTCTAGTATTCAGAAAAACTATGGCAAAGCTACCTCCCCACATACTGTTCAGAATATACATTGACTTTTGAAAATAGCCTTTGGATGAAAGTGATATTAATACTGACTGAGATACAAAGGTATTTTACCTATAGCTATGTCCAAGGGCTTACACATATGCAGTTGGATTTCTGGCTTACTTTCTTTAAAGCAGCTGATCTCCCAGGCCAGTTTATAAGCTGCTTTTGGACATCTACTTAGTTTCTTTAAAAGATTATTGTGGTAGGATAGGCTTCTGTTGAAAAACACAAGGTCAAGGTCCTCTTGGACACATTTGACTGGTTGGTTTTTGCAAGTAAGTTGAACTTTGCTACTGGTAGCAGGTTTGACATTCTTATTATCATTCTCTTTATAAAATATCCATTTAATTTCAGTACCAGGAAGAAATTCAAGAGCTTAATGAAGTAGCAAGACATAGACCCCGCTCTTCACTGGTTTTGGGTATTCAGCAGGAAAACAGGCAGATCAGAGAATTACAGCAAGAAAATAAAGGTAAACATATATTTATTTTTTTATATAGTGAGCCTTCACTGTGCTCAGTCAAGGATGAACCTCATTCTGAGCATTTACATAGTTCTAAAATTATACCCCATTAATGGTGTCCCAAGGATTCATTAACATTAAAGTAATTTATTAATAATGTTTATTACTAATAATAGTAGTTTTGTGCTAAAAATAATAATACCAAAATACCTCTTTCCAAATGTGATGCAGATCACACTACTGTGATCTGCCTGAAGTAGTAGGTGGGCACTAGGCATAATATTCTACTGTAACAGAAATCTGGATTGATTTCATAGTCTTCTGATCACTTTATTCTACAGTAACAATTATGGCTTTATTATAGTTTAAGTAGGTTGAGGATTATAGTTAATATTTTGCCAGCATCTCATAGTCCCATCCAGCTGAGCTTTTCTGAGTGGTTCAGGACATTTTCCAATCTGGCTCATTGAAGGGGATCATTGAACCCTCGGTATCTTGCTGCGATGAATTTGCTTGTCACTTCAAAGATAAAATTTTTCAGATCTGCTGCAAATTGGATTCCACAGTTGGCTTGATTCTGTTAAGAGAGGTATCCAGGGCACCATATGGTCCTTGAAGGAGGCTGTGATAAAACCATTCCTAAAAAAAGTTAAACCTGAACCCAGGGGATATTACCAACTATAGGCCTTCAGCGAACATCTCCTTTTTGTGCAAGGTGTTTGAGCGGGTGGTGGCTGGGCAACTCCTGGCACTCTTGGATGAAACAGATTATCTAGATTCATTTCAATCAGGTTTCAGACCTGGGTTTGGGATGGAGACTGCCTTGGTCACCCTATAGGATGATCTTTGCTGGAAGAGAGACGAGAAGGGTGTGAGCCTGTTGATTTTCCTGGATGTCTCAGTAGCTTTTGACATCATTGGCCATGGTGTCTTTCTGGACAAGTTGCCTCCTATCTGGCTGACCATGTCCAGAAGATGGTGCTGGGGGATAGTTGCTCTACCCCATTGCAGTTATGTCATGGGGTTCCACAGGGCTCAATACTATCCCCCATGCTGTTTAACATCTACATGAAACTGCTGAGAGAGGTTATTTGGAGCTGGGGTCTGCAATGTCATCAGTACGCTGATGACACTCAGCTTTACCTCTCATTTTCATCAAACCCAGGTGAGGCAGTTTTTGTTTTCAACCAGTGTCTGAACTCTTGGATGAGGGCCAATAAATTGAAGATCAGTCCAGACAAGATGGAGGTACTATTGGTGGGTGCAACATCTGATCAGTTGGGATGCCTTCAACCTGTCCTGAACAGGGTGACACTTCCTCTAAGGACAGGGTCCATAATGTGGGGGTGCTTTTGGGACCAAAAGTATTGCTTGAGTCTCAGGTGACTCAGTAACCAGGAGCGCCTTCTTTCAACTACATTTGATTTACCAACTTTGGCTCTACCTGGACAGACAGAGCCTTGCCACATTCACACACACTCTGGTAACCTCTCAGCTGGACTATTATAATGTACTCTACATGGGGCTGCCTTTGAAGATGGTCCAGAAACATCAACTGGTTCAAAATAGGGTGGCATGGTTGTTGGTAAGAACTAGTCTATGCACACATGTCATGCCAATTTTACACCATCTTTATTGGCCACCATTTGAAGTCTGGGCCCAATTTAAAGTGCTTGTGTTGACATATAAAGTCCTAAATGGCTTGGGACCAGCTTACCTGAAGGACTGCCTTCTCCTGTATATACCTACCTGTCACTTTAGATCAGGTTCAGAGGCCATTCTGTAAGGAGGTGAGGAGGAAGACAAACAGAAAAAGAGGAACCTTTTTGGTGATCACACCCCAGTAGGCTCCCAAGAGTAGTTTGCCTGGCACCTTCATTGCAATCATTTCAACGCCAGGCAAAAATGGTTTTATTCTCCAGACATTTTAATAATTGACTTTTATTGTAATTGTTTTTTAAATGAATTGTTTTATATTGTTAATTCACCACACTTAATCCACATTTTAATACTCTCAGTATTATTGAGAGTAATATATTACTGTTATATTTATAATGTTTAAATGCTTGATTAGCTCTTTTATACTACTGTTTTTATTGACTGTTTTGCATTGTTGTGTTGTGAACTGCTTAGAGGGGCTGGTTGGACTATTAAAGCAGTGTGTAAGACAAATAACTATTATCAAACAGAAGTAGCCATTATGCTTGCATAGGATTTTCTGTGCTCATTTGAAACGTGTTACATTTATCTTGCTAGAACTGCGTACTTCACTTGAAGAACATCAGTCTGCCTTGGAGCTAATAATGAGCAAATACAGAGAACAGATGTTTAGATTGCTTATGGCTAGCAAAAAGGATGATCCAGGTATAATAATGAAGTTAAAGGAGCAGCACTCTAAGGTAATATGTCTTCAAAAATATATAAAACTCTTGTAATGTTTTATTCAATTCCTCCTACTTTATACCAGCTGCTAGGGTTCTTTTATGTTTTAATTGCATCTGAGATGAATCTACATGTGGCTAAGCCTCATTACAAATTCTGGGCCTAACGTCTCTGTGGCAAAGTGGCAGTGGGAAGGTATGAATTGCATAGAAGAAAATATGGGCATGAGGAGAAATGCTTTATTCTTTACTTACCCAGTATTTTTCCTTGGAACTTCTGATTCCCCCTTCACTTGTATGTATCAGTTGGTAGCAGGGTGTGCAACTAAATAAGGTTAATCGCTTACCTAGAATAAGTTCAGTGACCAATATAAAAAGCACCAAAATAACTTTCCATTTACTATTTAGGTTAACTCCTCAAAGGACTAAATGCAAACTTTTTTCAGTCCTTTTGAAGACTGAAGGAGAATCCTGCTTGTTTGGTATAGAAATAGTGGTGACAAGTATGGAAAGTACCTGAAATATTTGGGATGCAAGCATGATTCAGAAATTTATTTTGAAGTAGTACGTTTAGGTACATAGTACAGTGTGTGTTGCCACAGGATTTGAAAAAGTCAGTTTACATTCCAATCTCAAAGAAGGCAATGCCAAAGAATGTTCAAACTGTCATACAATTGCACTCATTTCACATGCTATTTTATGCTCAAAATCCTACAAGCTAGGCTCGAGCAGTATGTGGACCGAGAACTACCAGAAGTACAAGCAGGGTTTCACAGAGGCAGAGGAACTAGAGATCAAATTGCCAACATACACTGCATCATGGAGAAAGCTAGGGAGTTCCAGAAAAACATCTACTTTTGCTTCATTGACTATACTAAAGCCTTTGATTGTGTGGTTCACAACCAATTGTGGCAAGTTCTTAAAGAGATGGGAGTACCAGACCATCTTATTTGTCACTTGAGAAAACTGTATGTGGGTTAAGAAGCAACAGGGAAAACTAGATACGGAACAATTGATTGGCTCCAAATTGGGAAAGGAGTTCGACAAGGCTGTATATTGTCCCCCTGCCTAATTAACTGATATGAAGAGTACATCATATGAAAGGCTGGGCTAGATGAATTGTAAACTGGAAGTAAGATTGCTGGGAGAAATATCAACAACCTCAGATATGCAGATGATACCACTCTAATGGCAGAAAGTGAAGAGAAATTAAAGGGCCTCTTGATGAAGGTGAAAGAGGAGTGTGCAAAAGTTGGCTTGAAACTCAACATTAAGAAATCTAAGATCATGGCATCTGGTCCTTTCTCTTCCTGGCAAATAGATGTGCAAGAAATGGACGTAATGACAGATTTTATTTTCTTAGGCTCCAAAATCACTGCAGACAGTGACTTGAAGCTAAGAAATTTAAAAACACTTGCTCCTTGGGAGGAAAGCTATGATAAATCTAAACAACATATAAAAAGCTGAGACATCACCCTGCCAACAAAATTTCATAGTCAAAGCTATGGTTTTCCCAGTTGTAATGTATGGCTATGGGAGTTGGACCATAAGGAAGGCTGAGCACTGAAGAATTGAGGCCTTTGAACTGTGGTGCTGGAAAAGACTCCTGCGAGTCTGTAGGGCTGCAAGGCGATCAAACCAGTCAGTCCTAGAGGAGATCAACCCTGACTGCGCTTTAGAAGGCCGGATACTGAAGATGAAACTCAAATACTTTGGCCACCTAATGAGAAGGAAGGACTCATTGGAAAAGACCCAGATGCTGGGAACGATTGAAGGCTAAAGGAGAAGGGGATGGCAGAAGTTGAGTTGACTGAATAGGGTCACAAGAGAGATGGGTGTGGGGTTCAGTGTACTCCGGGGGCTGATGGAGGACAGGAGAACCTGGAGGAATGTTGTCCATGGGGTTGCGAAGAGTCAGGTATGACTTTGCGACTGAGGAGCAGCAGCAGTGTGTGTAAAGGTGCTGGATTAACCTAAGGCAGTAAAGATGTGTTAAGCTATATTTAAGATGGGAGGCTTAGATTTGTATGGCTGCTTTTTTTGCTGCATTTCTATTAAAATGTTCATACAGTCCAATTTGTACCTAACAACCACTTGATTAACCCATGATTGGACAGTGCCATTCAGGAGTAAACAAGTTTGTTTGCTGCCTGCTGTCGCTTTCACCTTGTATTTCTGGGTTCTTCAGTGATTATCATTTCCAGTTGGAAACAAACCAGAGGTTTAATTGAATTTGTTGTTCATTTAAAACTTTGCAGGCCCTGTCCCCAACATCAGCATATACCTGACTTCCATTTAATGTATGAAATCCTGCAAAGAGGTCTGTAAAGATGAGTCACTGAATGCATTTTCAGAGCTCCCTTGATTGAGGACCATGATGAGGCAGAATTTCTATCAAAGAAGCTTTGTAATTGTGTTCAGCAGAACATGCATATGGAACCCTATTCAGACATTTGTTTCACACTCGGTGCACGATAGTCTAAAATCCAATTGGAGACGGGGTTTATGCATATACCCATATCTTCCTCCCTGCATCAGTCCTACATGCAATTAAGTAAACATCTAAAGAGTGGTTATGTTGGAAAAAATTGGTAGCTTATTTTCCTACATTTGATAAGCTGTGTTTATGGACTGCACATACACTTGAACACTGTGAAGGTACTTGAAATGTTACTAGCACTTAATTTTACTTTATTCTTTTGTTCAGGAACTTCAAGTGCATGTGGATCAAATCACAGAAATGGCAGCAGTAATGCGAAAAGCTATTGAAATTGATGAGCAGCAAGGCTGCAAAGAACAGGAGCGCATTTTTCAGCTTGAGGTAAGTATGAAACTCAGTGGAAATTTCAAAAGTGAACAAGATATTTTAAACTGCAAAATTTAAGGAATAAATGAACAAAATTTAAAGCTCTAGAAGTTAATGATAATAAAACAGTTTTAGATATATCAAGGTAGCAGCTGAAAATTGTATTTTGAAAGACATTGCTCATATATCCACAGAATCTTAAAGTGTACTCTGAAAGAGATTCTCATTTGTCATACCTGTGCTAATAATCAGGCTCCCTCTATGAATTTTTAAATTTATTTCTACATTACTTTTTATAGTGCTATAACATTTAACATGTTATTTTGGGCAGGCTTCATTTGCAGTGGCACAAACAAAAACCTGTGTTGCTATAGCTAACTTCTAGTCCTATGGAAACTGAAGTATAGCTAGTGATAAACTGTGGGGAGCAACTTAATGGTGCTGTTTTTGCACAGCAACAGGAAGGATGGGAGAAGCTTCCACCTTTAAACTAACCATAGTTTCCTTTTACAACCCTGCTTGTGTAACTGTGTCTTTCTTAGAGTAACCAAAATCAACTGTATCTTTAGATCCTGATTTATTCCAAAAATGTATATATAGCTAGCCAATTTCATATGTAATGGCAAACTAACCAGTTTTAAACTAAACTGGTTAGTTTAAAAGTGAAAGCAGATGCCTCCGTCTCCTCAGAGCTATGCGTGAAGCATGTTGGTATATTGAGGGAAGGAGCCCAACATTTGTGCATGTGACAATAAACCATGGTTGTCATTCTCTATGCACCATCTCAGTGCATTAAGTGTAACATCTTAAGTATTTTATTTACCCACATTCACCCAATAGTTCATATTGTCTTTCAACAGTGAGAGAGCAATACTAATCTCTCTGTGGCCCAAGTTTACGTCCTGGTGAAATTTAGCTATGAATTTTATTTGTGCTCAGAGGCATTGTTTATTATAACAGCTCTGAAGTTCTAAAACTCAAGACACTTACCATTGAAATGAGAAGAGGTTATTCCCAGACATTCTGGTGTAATGTTATTTCAGTCTTTTTATCTGTGTGCTGGGTTTGTGGCCAATGTTCTTGTTCAGAGATGCCTACAGTTATGGCAGTAATTGTGCTTAGTAGAGTTAAGCCAGGGCAGAAGTTGTCTAGAAAAAGTTGCAGGATAAAAGGTGATAGCCTCTAAATGAGGTGTAGCACCTTGGCTCCTATATGGCTGATAAATGAGGAACTTGTGCTTCTGCTTGTGCAGTTGAATTGTTCCAGGCAGGTTGCCACTTACATAGGAAGAGCCCAAACAGGGGGATATCTCTGGTCAAATAATAGGTTGGCTGGTGTCCCAGCTTTAACTTTAAACTTTTTTATCATTCAGTGTCACACTGGGTTTTTGACATGCATATACTGTCTTTCTGCAAGAGCATTTGGGACAGTCTAGTTGAAAATAATTGCTTCTAGTCTAGTAACAAACTAGCAATAGCAAGGGAACCGAGGAAGAAAGGGGGATCCAAGTATAGCTGACTTGATAGAGGAGGGTCTTGCTGTCTTGCCATTCTAATGCTGTTAGGGGGGAAGTTCTTAACACATGTCCACTTAAATTCAGTGTTTATAGTTGCTTTATATTAAATTAGACCTATTTTACTCCTATTTTTACTCTTCCTTCTTGCTTCCCTTTATGGGCTATGAGAAAATGTCCATCTGCATTTTGGTTCTCTTACTGCTTAGATAATTGTTTTAAAGAAAAAATGTATCAAAAAACATTAAGAGTATTGTTTTTGCTTTTTACAGCAGGAGAACAAAGGACTGAGAGAAATCTTACAGATCACCAGAGAATCGTTTTTGAATCTTAAGGATGATGCATCAGAAAGTACATCTCTTTCAGCATTAGTAACAAACAGTGACTTGAGTCTGAGAAAGAGCTGAAGATCCTCTGGAAACTCTGTATAGCTACTGCACATAATAGCGTAAAGTATCAGGGTTCACTTGTCGAGCCTAGTACAGCATTACCAAGTTAATGCATCCTAGAGCAGATGAGTTTGATAAATTTTTACCATGTACAGAACATTAAAACGACTTATTTAAAATTGCCATTAGTGTCCAATGTTAATTGCCATAGATATAATTTCTGTAGGAAACTGTCTGATGTTGTCAGTAGAAATTTTATATGGAGCCATGCAGAAGAGCTGACAAATTAGGTGCACTATTTAGAAAGTCAAAACTACTGTTCATGTAGGTTACATAAAGATATACATAAGAATAAAAGTTGTGCTCCAGGGCTTATTCACTGCAGTTCTGATACCCTGTTGGAACTTGAGGGAAATTGGTTCTGCAGGTTTAGCGATTGGGCTAACTTGTAGGGCATTGGCTGACACCTTTAGTACCCACCTAACCTGAGCAGCTTTATATTTTTCAAGTGGATTGCGTTTTTTAACTGAAATGAATTAATACTAATGCACTTTTTTTTAAAGCAACCTCTCCTGGGATGGGGTGAGGGAACTACTGCAAGTGCTAGTACAGTCAGCCGTCCTCAATTTGCAGAACCAAGAAAAGCAGGAGAAAAGCTGGATTTGTCTTACATTTAGGAAAAGCTGCAGCAACTGCTGTTCACACTTAAAGAGACTGGTTACTAAATAGGATGTGGTCTAGTATCAGTCTGTGCTAATAGCAGCTAATAGAAATTTTGCACACTAAGTTCATTTCTCACATTAACTGCCTTTGAACAAAGACGGGGTAGTAGCCATTTATACTAGAAGTTGGAAAGAGCTGTTTGAGGCTTTTGATAAATTGATTTCAGTTCATATTGCACCAAATAACTTTAAAATGCTGGCCTTACTTTTTTACTCTTATCTAAAGCAAGTTAAGTCAGTCAGCCACACACCTATTAGTAAACAAAACAGTAATTGAATTAACATGTGGTTCTAAATGTACTTTCTTGTAGAATGTGCATTTTACAAACAACCTTATAAACTGTTCAAGAATTTCAGAATATTATTTTAGTAGTTAAAGAATAATTTTTGCTTTGCTCTTTAACACTTCTTTTGGCTCTGCCATAAATAAAACCTGGATCCCATCATTTTGTGCAGTGTTCTGTGTGCCCCACAATGCAGCATCTTGTACCTGCTGAAAAGCCACTTTTCAGTATTTGTTCAGGATGGTAGAGAAAGGAGTGGGTGGCTACAGTTGGGGTGTGGGATGGGTGACTTCCTCCTTCCCTATATTTGTGTATAAGATACTAGGGATCTGATCCTGAACATAGAAATGTTTCATGCACTGAAACAAATTAAGACTTCATTAAGCGATAACATTTTAAGGCATTTGGAAACTTTCTCTAAAGCAGAGCTAGCTGTTTACAAATGTGATATGCTAAGATGCTTGGCAATGTGGTAGAATTGGTAAATTTGTTCTAATATGCTCAGTTTTCTTGACATTTGCCATGAAATAATGTTAAAGTTTTGGTAAAGAAAAGGTTACATCCTTCAAGCAACCTAGCTCAAAGTGCATACTTCTAAGTACTTTCGAGACTATTCCCCAGTATAAGCCAATCTAACAAAAATGGGATAAATCCAGACTTAGTTGAACTTAGGTTTAAACTGATGTAACTTATTCTAAATCTAAGAATTACATCCCACCCACATATACTACATAGACAGTTACAGCAGGAATGTTGATAATAATGGAGCAGCTAAACGGTGAGAGTTAAAACTTCAGTCTAAATATTATAAAATGAAGTGGGATTAACTGCTTGAGTTAGTATGACCCAACTGAATCTGCCTGCATGATTCTGAACAGTCTACCCCAACTTTGGGGTACCAATGTCTTGCTACAATTCCCATAATCCCTGACCATTGCCCATGCTGTCCAGGGATGATGGCAAGTAATAGTCGGATATCTGTAGAGCCAGTGGGTAAAGGCTGATCTGTTTTTCTACTTGTTTCTAAAACAGGTACCTTATTTTAGGCTCCATTTATAAGTAATGTAACTATATTTAATTGGTATTATGAGATAGTTTTTATAGCATGCTAATTTATTTATTAATGGTACAGTGCACACTCATCTGTTAAAATACTTTCACATGAACTGTAAGCATGAATACAAGACTATTTGTATATCTGACATTCCAGTTTTAAAATTTGTCCTAGATTTTACTTACACAGGGATAAACACTTTTAATAAGCTGTTGACGTGTGTGGCTAACTTCCATCAATTCTGCTATAACTTCCTTTTGAATATATGTCCTGGTGCCTCAAGTTACTTGTGCTGGCACTCAAAAGAACATTGAGAGTGCAAGCCTATGCATGTTAAGACTGAAACTCAAACAAGTTCTGTAATTCCCAGCATGTTCCAGCCAAGAGGAACTGTAGAAACATGCATAGGATTGCATGCTAAGAGATTCTCCAGTAATTGAGATACCCGGTATCTTGAGGGGTTTGAATCCTAAAAGGTGGCCTAAAATATTTTTTTCAGATAAATGATTGAAGCATTTAGTGGTCGTCCTATGGAAAGAAACCTGTTCATAATTTGTATTTAGACATTTATAATTTGACTTTTCGAAACAAGCTGTAGATTAAAGAAAAACTAGCCTAAGCACAAACTTTTGTACAACTTTTTTCTCCCTGTGTTGCAGAGTGGAATTTCTGAAAGCTTTACTTATCCCCTTTGTAAATTAAAGGTTTTTTGTAAATAGCTTAAAAATGTATTTTCTTTATATTTGGAGTATAAGGAAGTAATTACCTCTCTGGGATTTGATTCAGCACAGTCAAAATGCAGTTTCCCCAGAAATCTTAAGATGTTAGTGTGGAAGTCTTCAAAGTGTAGAGGTTGTTACTTTGCTGGTAATTCTTTATGGATAAATGTTTGATTATTGACTTGTAATTAAGTGTAAATTATCGTGACTGTTTAGTTCAAACTTTTGGCTGTTTAACATTATCCTCTTCTCTTGTCCAAACCAGTGTAACTAAAACTTTGAATAACTTTCCTTTTGTGTGGCATGACAATTTTCTATATCATTATTTTTGTACTGCAGATGCTTGGAATTACCTTATGGTTGAGAATGCAGCCTGTACAGTAAACTTATTTTTACCAGTAAATTGGGTTGGGTAGATATATTTTAACAATAATCCTGGTTTCTCAAATGTATGAAATGCATTTTCTGATGACCCTTCACTGCACCTTCACTGATGCTACCTGGAACAGAAAGTGCAGATAATTTTTTTTTGTGATTTTCATAAGCCCTTAAACACAGAGGCTTAGGCTAATCCTGTGTAGGGCAGAATGAGCTGTAGAGAGAATTATTTGCTAGATGGGCTACAATACACATAGGATATTCAGGCTGTAGAACATGAGAATCAGTGAGCTAGACCTCTGATTACAAGTTCACAAAAGAACTAATACTTGATTGGAGCGCTAGAAAGAATGGCTAAAGAATACTGGTCATATTACAACCATTTTGTTTTAGTGGTGTTGCTTACCTGTTCGTTTCTGGATGTGATTTAATTTATTAGTGCTAATCTTTAAAGCCCTGAACAGGACAGCCTACACTCATATAAACCTGCATGGGTTTCCCTTCTAGACAAAAAAGCAGCTTAACAGGATACTAATCAGTCCCTAACACAAAGAATCTCAGACAACACTTCAACTGCAAGCACATTTTTATTATAAAAAGGGATAGAAAATGGGTTAGATGTTTTGGCATTGTAACTCATGGAAGTTATTACCAAAACAAAGTAATCCTGGCTAATTTTTATATTAAGATGTTTACTATTTGAGCACATGGCAATCTCAGCAGTAAAAAATGGCCAGAGAGCCAACACATTAGGGCCATTCTTGACAAAAGGAATACAATGTTACATCTATTCTTTTTCAACACTGAAATGAAATTAAGCTCTGGTTAGCTACTGAGCATTATAGACTTTTCCATCTTTTATCACTTGTAATCTAAGTGTTGGCTTTTCTGTATTTAAAACAGTTCAAAGTTCAACTATTTTGGTCCACTTGACACAAGTATGCCTTGCAGATCTTCAAAATGAATGTCAAACAACATTGTTCTTGCTTAGTTGCTTTGCAGAGATAGAACCAGCAGGTTCACATTTAAATTTCCTTTAAATTTCTTGAGACAGCATAACACATGGGAATAATACCCCTATGGAAATGGGGTGATATATGAATATTAAGATAAAAGGCAGCTACACCATCATTAGGGTCTTGTTAGTTACACCAGGCAGGGAAAGGGTGAGTTACCAGAGCAGGAGAAGAAAGAAGAAGGGCATATCTTACCTGTTGAATATTTAAACGTTGCACTGCATCTCTGACTTTCCACATGAGAGCTTTAGGGATGTAATAAAACTAAGCATAATGTTCAGAATTAGACAAGTTTTAGATGTATGCATTATCCTCATCTAAAGTGTTGTAATCCAGCATCTTTCTAGTCTGAGGAAGAAGTCAGAGCACTGTGCCAACAAGCCTTCCTCCACTACTGAAATCCAGAGTCAGCCCAAGAAAGCATTAACACAGAATGCACCAGAATCCTGTCACAGATAGGCTGTATTTGAATAGAAAAGGACGTAGTATTGTATCTTAAATACTGCCTGTCTGCACTTAAAACATATGACACACCAGAGTACCAGATTCTATAATGTACAATGGAACTCCTACACTTTGAAAAAAGTGTTTGGATCTGCAGGCAGTTTTTGCTATTGTAGAAATGAAGAAACTGATAGCTTTTTTTTCCTATTTGCCCACCAAAAGCATGGGAATTCTGATCCATACACTGGATCTCAAAATCCTAATGAACCTGAGGGTTTCTCCATATACTACCTCTTCCAGTGAATGAACAGATTTAAAGATTATGACATAAGCCAGGGTATTCTTTCATTAATACAATCACTTGCCTTAATACCCCTACAATTAGTAACTGTGTGGTTCTGCTTTGTGTCACTTCTTTACCTATTGAAAGTAAAAAAGGCTCTTCAGTATAGTATTCACACAATCCCTACGCGCTTTTTTTTGGATTTGAACTTCTAACCTGGCAAGAGGGGGGATTATATTGCATGATCAGTAATCAAACAGGCAAAATCCAGCTGTGCAACATTAGGCTGGTAGGAAGTACATACCTGCACACAAGCTGCCAAATTCAGAGCTGACAGGAAGATGATGCAAGAAAATAGGATGTTCAAGTGCTTCCGTTTTCGCTACTGTCTTGGCAAAACTGTACCCTCTCTGCTCAGAGCAGAGCAGCTCATATGCAACCTTAAGAATCACCCCCACCCTATCCTGTGCCCTCAACCTGGGAGTATCCACATGTGTGGCACTGTTTTGGCCCCTTGAGCAGCAGAGTCTATTATTCTCCCTGGTTCAGGATACTGCAAAATAAAATAGTAGCCCAGGACAGCCATACAACAGTACCCAGATGCCTGCAAACCTGTTTAATCTTTTTTGAATATAAAAAGTACATAGAGGAAACATGTCAGGGACAAAGAAGGAGTTTCATGGCCAAGAACAGTAGTCTAATATGAAAAGAAACTTTGACATATAGGCTAGACAAATTTATAGTTGTTCCTCCCTAATAAAAAGCCCCCTTCAATTCCAGAGATGAGACCATTGCTTGTTCTTTTTCAGCTGTAGCACCAAAACACACTAAAATCAAATTAACCTGCTACAGACTTACACCCTAAAATGTATTTTTTCCCCTCCCCTTGGAAATATGAAATGAAAATAGCTATTTTTTTCAACACACAGGTAGTGGACACAATTTAACCTGCTTCAATTAAAACATTTTAGTACAGCTTGACAACTTAGAGCTGTCATTGGCAAGCAGTGAGAAAGTTTTGTATCAAAGTCTTCAACAGCACCAAGGCCACCAAGTGCCTGTTCTATTTGTAGCCAAACCTTAACTAATTTCCCCCACATTCTGTATATTTGGCTCACAATGAAAACCTATGCTAAAAAGGGTGGTGTTTCATACTGTCTTTGAAAATAAGAGAACTATGCACGTGCTTGAAGTGACCATCTTTTTCTTAGGGTCTGAAGCTTTAAAAGTTGCACATTCACCTACCTTCCATCCTCCCCTTCCCACCCCAATAATTTAACACATTGCACATAATGTGTACTCCATTCTTGTTACAAACTGTAACCAGATGAAAGTGCCTACATGCTTTAGCACAGAAACCAGATCACTAAGCAGAACATAGGGCTTCTTAGTAGGCAATTGCTGATCTTTTTCTAGCCTGTTCAATTTTGGTTGAAGGAGAAAGATAACAGAGGAAGTCCTCAGCAGCAGAGGATGCCTCCTCCTGAAAGTCTCAAGCCACACTTCAATTGTACGTCAGTTCACAAGAGTAGTGGTGTTCTCTCCCCAGCTGGCTGCTCTTTTCGGAAGAGGTCCTTGATCTGGGATAGCTTACTATGGATTCTTTCTCTCAGGGGAGGGACGTGATGACTGGGATCCAGGATGTTAGTTATTCTGCGTTCTCTCTCACGCTTCCATATCCGATAGGGGTGCGGTGGGAATGGTGGCTCATGTCTTTCTCGGCGCAGCTGCACTGTTATTCCTCCAATTGCTAGCATTGCCCATACAGCTAAGACAATGAGGTCTGCAAGATAAAAGAAATTGTTCACTCCATGGGTAGCTTCAATTATGTGAAGGACTTCCCTGTTTTTCCAAAGCTTCATTTTCTTAGTTCACCTTTGCATTTTATTACATCTACAACTCCCCCTTTTGGAAATCTGTCTTTACAACTAATTCTTCCCAAAGGCCATGTACTATTATCCTTGATCCCTAGCCCATTATCAAGAACACCTTGATTTGTTTCACTGAAGTGGCAAGAAGATTTGTCACTGCTGGGTTTTGTCTGAAGAGGTGAGATGTGCATCTCCAGCCACAGCAAAAGATCTACATCTCTGCCCTTCTTCTCTGGGTAAAAGATGTTTAGGAAACTGTGGCAGAGGCATTGACCCTTCCTTGGAACATTCAGCTCATTTTCTAAGACAGCTGTACTTGGCAACACATTCATAAGGCCCAACTTTTTTTGTTCTCCATTTCCATCTGAATGTACGAGAGTTTTTGACTAAGGGATGCCACATGCATCTCTAGAAGTTATCAAGGGTAGACCTACGATCAAGAAAGCAAACAGCCTTTCCCTATCACTTAGCTCAAGACATACCGTTAGGCTGAAAGGGCACGCTGGTGTAAGTCCTCCTAAAGTCTTCATTTAGAATCCTCCGGAGCAGGTCTATACTGATGTATGAAAGGCTTATGTACACGTAACATGCTGTAGCTAAGACTATGGTATAAGATCCTATTATACCACATGTCAAGATGTTTAGCTGCAGAGAAAGATTGGATCATGAATAGCTTTGAAATTATAAAATTAGAGCCCACTGTATCTAGCAGGTATCTATGCAGGCAGAGGTGTTTAAAGCTCCTTAACTTGGTCATGAAGCCAGACTTCATGTGGCTACTCAGTGTTAACTTCTTTCCTATTGCTTTTTCTTTTTCTATTCTACTAATGCCTTTTAGCACACGTTAGTAAATAAAAACTATTCTTGGTTGAACTGCAGTTTGTGCAGGAGTTCAAGGTTAGGGGTTAAACTACTAAGAAAAGCAGTCAAACAGAAACCAGCCAGGCTTTTAACCAGTATGATTCACCAAGCATCTGGTTTTATTTATTACATTAACTGAGCTTCTCTCCTAAAGTACACATGGAGCACTGAATAATTAACACAATATAAAATTAAATGCAAAACAAAGTAAGTATGTGGGAAATGGGTCTGGGGGAAGTGAATATAATGGAACAGAGATTTCATATTTCAAAAGTTTACTAAAATAAAAACACATTGCTTCCTACAATATATCCTACAATGGATATATTCCAGAGATTTCCCAAGATATTATTTATATATTCTGTATATATTATATATACAAGTAAATATGTTGCCTTTGAGTGCTGCTACCTACGTTATTGCTCTGTTCCAGTAATCCTCATATCCTTGGAGCAGGGCCTCCCTGAAATATCTTACAGGAAGGCTGAGGGCTTAAAGTGACAAGGGCAAACTCTTGCAAAGGTAGCTCAGCCAGAACTTTCTCTCCACCAAATCTGCAAGCAAACTGAAGCTGAAACAATTTAGGAGCAAACAAAGGCACTTACAACTCGGGGACAGCCAACAAAAACTACTGGGACCATCAAGACAATGCAACAGAAGGTCAGCCAGAATACAGCATCATCCTGGAAAACCTTATAGTCTCCTGTGGAAGTATAAGATTCATAACACAAATCAAAAGAAATTCTAAACTCCATGCAAAAGCCATTTAATTGAACTTTAATCATATCAGAGAATGGGATGTTTCTTACAAAAAGGCTCACTTAGTATACTAAGGCCAATATTCATAACCCTATCACTCTGGAAAAGTAGCTGCATTTAAGAGGAGTAAATAAAAAACAATCCAATTGTGGAAGGTCAGCTATATATTTTCACCAAGAAAATACTTGCAGGAATATTTCCTGAAGTATGTTTGATTTCTATATTACATAGATTCTTCAAGATGTCCCAGATTCATGAATAATATAAACATTCAGATAAATTCTTATGCAAATCAACTGTAATTAGTACTACAAGTTATTTTAGAGTGTAATTTATTTTAAATGGATAGTTCTGTTTATATACCACTATAATTTATGTGATTATTGACAATGCTCTCCATTTTAACACAAAAATAAATCTGAACTCAGCATGACAACTAGCAGTCTCTTTCTTGAAACTGAAGAGCTGAAAGTCAGCAGATGGGAGAGTCTTCTCCCAACACTAAACTTGATAAAACAAAACTATATTTCTGTGGGGACCCAAACAAATCAGAAAAAGTATGACTATGTGACATACCTATGGGAGTGAAGAAAACTGTAGATGCAACAAGGAACCCCAGCACTAGTCCTACAATCATCATACACAGGATGACAAAGCCAAATCGCCACCAGCAAGCCACCAAGAGGAGACCTCCAACAACGCCAGCTACTGCTGTAAGGCCAAGACTGACTGCGCAGCACAAGGAGGAGAAAAGAGGAGAAAGTGAAGTTCACAGTAGTAAGGCAAGTCATACATTTTTCCATTACCATCCATTTTGGAAAGTTTACACATCAAGTGTTCCATTTTGTTTTTTCAAATCTCATGCTAAAATGTTTCCAGAAAATTAGCCAAGTTTGCATATTGAACACATAGAATATTTAGAATTTTAAAGATGAGCAGATTTAGTCTTAAGCTTCTGTGCATTTTGTCCTAATAATTACAACTTTTGCTGCAAGTTGAGCAGATCCATCTTGTTTTTCCACTATAGAAAGGTTGCCATTTTCCCATGTTTGGCTAGATCCCATGTTGGCCAAACTAACATTCTAAACAATCCGAGCAATGTGGGAATCTACAACTACCCAGCATGGCAACTGCATGACCATAACTTTCCACTCTAAGAATCTAATCCAGACAGCCTATACTTTTTCGTTAGCAGAGAAAGGAAAGAGCTACTTTCCTAGTTAACAACAGGATTTATACTTGCCAATCAGTTTCCTTTTGAAAACAGAGCTCCTATCTAGTTCTACAGATGCATCTATTATTGATCTACCTGGGATGTTTTCTGGGGGAAGAAATGGAACACTGTTCTCAAGGGCACACACTACTACAATAGTCACACTTGCCACTTTTATCACTCTGGTAACCATGACACTTGGGGCCCAGCATTACTTCCCAGCTTGCAACTAGAGAAAGGATAGTGACCCTTTACATAGTGGTGCTGAGACCATTAAAGGTCAGTGTAATAGAAATCACTCTGTGCCCTCTCCAGTCCATGGGAGGCTGTTTCCTGCTCAGTACCCACACAAACTCCAACCTTTTCCTCAGCTTGGTTGTTCTGACCAAGTGCCAAAACATGCCTATCCTTCCTCCCCCCATGTCAGGAACTGTGGCTGCAATTCTATGCACATCAATCTAAGTCCAATATAAGAGGAGCAGGAATCAGGCACAGGATTGTGCCTAAATGAAAGGGGTTCTCCTAAAACCACACATTTTGGTTTGGCTGCCAAGCCCTACCAAAATTTGTAGACTTTTGTTCTCATATCTGGTTCTCAGAAGATTCACTTCTAGACAAGCTTGAGGTTATCCTTGAAGAATTACTACTGCATATTTTCGCCTCTAGGCACTCATATATCCCAAATGAATCAGCAATTCAACAAGCAGATGTAGATTTTGTTGTTTTGTGGGGATGCGGTAGAACATCCTCAAGATCACAGTGGCCCACGTGAATCTTCAGTGGCCCTAAGTCTACAGATATTTTGAATTTTAAACAATTTTAAATTGTTTAAAGCAGTTGAATTTTAAACAACTGCTAAGATGACTCTGCTTTTTGAAAGAAAAATGTCTACACTGAAATGCCTTAATTATTTATGGAGAACTAAGTATCAGAAATGGTCAAACAGCATGTTGCCATCCCTGGTATAAACAATGAACAATTTTCTTGAGCATCCGCTATATTAACAGAATTCATTCTATACCAAAATGGCAGAATTCTACAACTTGTATAGATTATGCAAGCTCCACATGATTGCAGAATTCTCTCCCTCTGCATATTTTATTCTGTACTTTACTTTTCATGATTTAATTTTTGCTAGTCATGAGGGAAGTTTAAATGTATGCAGATTACTGAATCTTCCTCTCCTCTGCACTTAATTTAGCCGTATATTTAACTTTTGACATTTCAGTAGACACTACCCACACATTTTCACACATATCGTCATAGCACAAAAAAAGAAGGGTGAGAGCCAAAATGACAAACAGGAAGCTGAATTCTTTGCTTATATATGCTGTACTTGCTTGCATTGCCATGAAATCGAGATATACATAGCTCTCCTGCTTATAGCCCATGGAGTTGATAAAATCTTAGAACTGGAAACTTTTAATATCAATTACAGAAATTGTATGGAATGCAATATGGACTTTACTTCCTCCTTAAATTTTGGCCATATTTGCACAGCTCATGCAACAAGTCCATTCAGGGCCTTTTGGTGCCACTTGAGAAGTCCTCCTTATACTCAGTAGTTCAGGAATTTATGAATGATGGTCTCATCAGACAAAGCTTGCCAGCCATGGTTACCAGGAGCACTCACATTTCAATGCCAGCTTTCAATCAAACATTTAAGGAGCCCACATAAATTCTTCCATAACTCTGCTTACCATCATAATTGAGAGATGAAGTTCTGCTAACAGCTATGAAGAAAAAAAACGCCACAGAGATGAAGCCCATAAAGAACAGATCTAAGGAGAGAAGTTAGAAATACTATTTAAAATAGTGTTTTTCCAGGAGAGAGTAAGTAAATATTAAAAGAGTTTTTTTGGTTTTAAGAAGACTCTACAAGACTCTTTTGAAGCAATGGGGCTGAGAGCAGATGCTGTGCAATCCTGATCTATTCTCACAGATATGGTATTATTTCATTGACTACACTGTGCACTGGGACATGCAAGTAGTCAAGGCTCCCATAAGGCCAAAATATCCACCCACAGAAGAGACTGCCTGCGGTGTCTCTATCTGCCTGCACAGGGGAAAGAATTCTGTAATCACTCTAGATTAGCCATAATTTAGCAGACAAGTGGCTTAACAGACAAGGGACACTGCAGAATTACCCTTCATAAAACTACTTGTTCCTTCTCTAGAAGAGTTATAGCTCTGGGATTGCCTCCTGCTGATCTTCAGATCTGTGACTCATTAAACACACACAACACAATGGAGATAAACACTTTTTTCCTAAATGCTCTATAACAGGAGTTGGGACATTGTTGACCCTCTGAAAGCTGTTGATCAGAGTTCAATAAATTTAATTTTGTGGAGAACTGCATCTCTCTGCTTTGCCCACAGTACCTGTTTTCCAGAACCTGTGCCCAAGGAAACAGATAAAGAGACCAAGGACAGCGAGCGAGGTGAAAAATATTTTGGTGGAAAGATTTCCTGTAGAAGAGGAAACAAGAGAAGAATGATTAAGTCCATTTCACGAGTAGCTGTTGGACTTTACAATTTAACTGAGGACCATGGGGTAATTTTCCTCCAAGGATTGCTTAAAAGGTAGCTTTGGGCTACAATGATCCATGCAGAGAAGGTATTTTCCATTGAGTTTTTACAGAAGATGAAGGTCAATATTGAGGTCATTCTTCTACAGTTGTCAGACTGCTTAAACAAATAACAGACCCCACTTTGAAAAATCATAGGGATACTTTAATTGCTGTAATTTCTGTTTTAAAATTAATAAAACTGCAGCAGCTATCCTTCCTTCAGAATCCTTCAGCTGCTAAAGCAACTGCACAATTTAGACAAGCATAATAAAAGAGTAAAGGCACCATTCAACACAGCTGGCCATTTCTTGTTTAACACAATCTATGGGCTTCCATTCTTTTCAAATTTTACTGCACAGAGGTAATTTTGTCAAATAGTTTCATTTCCATCTCTATATACTGAGAGTAGGATTTATAAAATAGAGAAATGAAAATGACAATATTGATTTCTCACATAAGGACCCCAAGAGGAACAAATTAAACATTCTCCTAATCGCACATAGCTGCACAGTTAGAAATATGCGTAGTGAAGCATTTTCTGATAGTTGTATTTACTCCTCTGTATCACACATGTCTCCAATTTGGACTGGGACCATGCCATTCCAAGAAGGGGGAGGTTAAGCCTTCATCCCACCCATTTTCCCCTGAAATTTATCTCCCCCATACCTAACAGCTGCCTCCAGTCTTCTAGTTACGTCTTCTGTTAGCAGCCAGTTCCCAGAGTGCAGGTGATTAATTAGAAAGGCTGGTTCAGCCACCCTCCCTGCTGGTTCTAATGCTACTGGGGCAGGAGAATACAAAAGCAGCAGCCATAGCAGTTTTATACTGTAAGGATCTATCATTTTTGACTCCCAATCCAATGACTCAATCTCATTTCAGAAAGAGTAAATTCAGGATGATACCAGGTGCATTAACCTTCCATATCCATTCCCAAGGAGTTGCAACTGGGGGGGTGGGGGGTGGGAGACTAGCCCCTTGGTCACCAAAGAATTGGAGAAATTGTGTATATTTTCAACTGACTTACTGAGAGTGGAGCAGTTATTCACCGAATTGGAGAGGCTGCATGCATAGGTGTGAGCTGGCACATATGCAGCTGAGGTGTTCCACAGTGGGTCCCTCACTATGACATTGTATATCACTCCTTGCCCTGGGAGTGAAGAAAAGTACAAGTCTGTTTTGTCTTGGTTAGTCAAGGTCATCACCTGTGGGGGACATAAAAAGAATGCTGACAGGATGGAAGAAGGGACACACACCACTTCTCCAGCACCTCAAATGTAGAGGTGAGCATTATGTTTACTCTTAACACACTGCATTATTCTTTTAAATATTAGCAAATCTCCTTTCAAGTGAAGAGTCTCCAAGGCAGTTAACAAGTTGTACTAAAAGCAATACAAGATCAAGACCTAGAGACTTCTATTGAAGCAAGTCACCTCAAATGCAGGCCACAAAAGGTTTCAGGGAGATATTCACTGGAAAGAGACTGAAGAAGTTACAGCATGGTAAGTCTGCAGACAACATTCTTAGTCCCACTATTTTAAACTGGTGAATTTTCCTACCGGCAGTTGGCATTGCTATGAAATGGGCTTCTAATAGCAGATGCTGAAAACTGCAAGTTTGGAAGATCTGTTGACTGCATTTTTGTTGAGTATGTGTTTTATTCAGCTCAGACTTCAGCTCTGCCTTGTTCTCAGTCTTTTATGGAAAGCTGCGTGCTTTCTGTGACAGCCATTCTTCAAATTGCCAAATGTACCCACAGTCTCAAACGTTGCCTATTCTGAGCTGCTTAGTCATACAGCAGGATCCCAGAAGTACCATGAAAACACATAACAAAACTGTGTGACTTACTTTAACCCCATTAGCTATGACATGTTGCACATCAGACATCTTCCTCATGTGGCTCACAAATGTTACTTCAGACAGGTCGTTCTCTGGCAGGAAATACCGATAGATATCATAGTACAGTCGCTGTCTAGAGTTGTGACTAGTTGTAGAATCACATGAAGGTGGATTTGCACCTCTGAAAAATTACAGGAAGAACATTTGAGTGGAGCTTCGCTGAATGTCATACTTCACTTTAATGGTCCAAATATCACACTTCTATTCAATGTTCTGAAGTTTTAAGTAACTATCACTGTTCCCCTCCCAAACATTACAAAACCTATTCATACATTTTATTATTGCCTAGTGACAGAAAGACAAACTCAAGATTACAAACATGGGCAGACATGGTTAGCTTAACTCTGAAAACCACCATAATCTCCTCTTTACCTTTAGGGTTTAGAAAACAAGTATGTCTTAAGATCTGACAGAACCCAACCTAAACAACGTGGTTCAGAATTGTATGCAAGATCCCTTGTGTGGGACTGAGGACTGGTTGCACATACCTCATGTACCCCAGATTTGCCGGGGCAAATTTAATGTGCGTCTCAGCCAAGTTATACTCTACATAGATATTGGGGTCAATTTCCAAGTTGAATTCCAGGTTGCAACCTCCAGGAATTGGATCTGGACAAAAAGAATCAAAACAACTAAAGTTAACATGGGGTATTACTGATTTCCAACCACTTGTGAAATCAAGTTACTGTTATGTTCATTGATTTTGCTAACAGGTCGCAATGGCACGCAGCCATGCTGGTTCCCGGCAAACCATGATTTGAGAAATATGAACTAGCTTCGTGGATGCATGACACCTCCACTGCCATGGGTCAGATGTACTAACTGAAGCTGTTGTTCCTTCACAAATTGATGGTGGAACCATAGTTTGAAGTGGTGTTAGATCAACACAAATAGTATGAAATAGTAGTCAACAACGACAAGGGAAGAAAAAAATAATTCCCAAGGAGAAGAAACAAATAGAGGAGAGAAAACCAAAGAGAGAAAGTGGGTCTGAGATGAAGTTCCAAGACTGAAGAGCAGAAGGAAGTCCTTTAAACATGCAGGATATTCTAAGCAGCTGAGAGTAGCACAGGTATGGGTCTGGAAATAAAGGTCAGAAAGACGGAGCGAAAAAATAAGGCTGTGTTAAAAAAATTAAAGACAATGTCAAAGAACCAGGCCTTTCTTCATCTCAGCATGATTTCCCAGGGAAGCCTTTACTCTCTTGCTGGGCAACCAACCTGTAGACCTCCACATGTTTTCACCTACAAATTCCATTAGCTCTGCTGGTTAGGGCTGATGGAACTGTGGCCCTCTAAGCATTTTGGCCTACAAAACATGAACTCCTCTTATACTATAACTAGGGATTTGTACTATACACACTAGTGATTTATACAGGAAATATGTCTAGATTATTTAAAGTGCCATGGGTAATTTCAAATCTGACTGCAGGAAATAAAAAAAGAATACCTCTTTCAGTTTGAGAGAAAGAAACTGCCGTGCTGAACACTTGATTGGCATCCACAGCTTGCAAATACCAGGTACACACAGTCTGCTCCGGCCGAAGAATATAAACCAGCCCTTTGTCTACCCCTGTTCCCGAGTTGTTTGTGGATGGTTTCTGGAAAGCAGACAGAATTAATGCATACCTCTAAGAATGCTTTTCAGCTAACAGTGCAATCCTATGCATGCCTACTCAGAAGCCAACCCCAATGGGACTTTCTCTGTATAGGATTTTTTGTCAATTTCTCTGCATGCTCTCTCACTCAATATACATCACAGTTTTCTGGAGTGAACATCCAACTGCCCAGATTGAAAGGTCACAGCAAGCCAATTGCTACCTCTGTTCATCAGCTACCACATTTTTGCAACAACCTGGACTTTTACACATGTTGGGATTTCTGGGAGTATAGCTTCAGATAAATTGTCAGAAACCTGATGGCAACATAATTTAGGCATATGGGAATCATATATTTGTCTAGAGATTACTTTTGATCATGTCCTGAAAAGGACATTTTAACTCATTGTGAGACAGCTTTACTGACAGTGAAATTCAGTTTTATTCTCAATTTGACATATACTACAATGTATTCATCTTAATATAACAAATGACAGCCAAAATGAAAATAATCCTAACAAACTAAATGATGCCAAGTAAGAACTACTCAACCATTAGTGGATTTTGTTAAAAGCCCAGAAATGCTGTCCTTCTAATGACAGAATGAGCCCCTTTTTTTCTCCATAGTTCCTAATTGCAACCCCTTTACTTTCTCCCTATAAATTCTAGACAGTGTTGCAAAATTTTGCTTGGGTCTGCCTGGATGGGAACCTTAAGTTCTATCACTGAAGGAAGGCAATATACAAATGTAATAAACAAATAAATGGAGCCCAAAAGTTCACTTCAAAAGCACATTTTGTCCTTCATTTCTTCCCTTAAGCAAGGGTGCAGAAACTCTTCCATCTGAGCACCATTTTGGAGATGTTTTCAGGAGCTGCATTCCAGAGGTGGTTGGGGCACAGGGTTTGCAGGGAAAAGGGGACAAACTAATGGCAAAAGGACAAGCCTAAAAGTACCCTCAGATGTTAGCAACAAGCTCTTACTGCCATTAACTAAGCTCTAGGAGAAGCATCTCAACCTTTCAAAGGAGGAAATACTGCTCAAAAGCAGAGAAAGAAAACAAATGACCAGTGGTTAGGAAAGGGGGTTGATATGGATCCCACCCCGTAGGTTCTGCATCCTTGCTTTAAGCCCTGTTATAGGTATGTTTTAGTTCCCAATAGAACTGAAACAAGTCTTTGGCTTACACATTTCCACTTCCACTGTCCCCATAAATGTTCCTCCAGACAGAAAGTAGTGCATAACTCAGCGCATCCTGGTTCATGTGCCTGAGGCCTCCCTGACCCTGCTACTTTTAGTCTTTTAGTTCAGATAATGGACAGCTTCTTTGGGGCTGTTCCTGATGCAAATGAACCATGCACTAGACCATGGGTCCTCAAACTACGGCCCGCGGGATGGCTCTAGCCCGCCATGCCCATTTATCCGGCCTACACCGCTGCCTCCCACCTGTGCACGTGCTCGCCGTGCGGGCGGGAGGTGGTGGCTTGCTCACTTGGAGATGGTTTTGGACTCGTTGGGAGATCTCCCAGCAAGTTCAAACCCATCTCTGAGGGAGCAAGCTGCTGCCGCCTGCCTCCCCTGTACACGCGTGCTCGCCGCTGCCTTGTAGCACAGGCTGGAGGCGGTGGCTTGCTCGCTCGGAGATGGATTTGGACTCACTGGGAGATCTCCGAGTGAGTGAGCTGCTGCAAGCGCGCCCAATGCCACCTTGTGCGCACCTGACGACGCCTCATCGGCCCACGCACCCAGGCCCTCCCTCCTCACCAGCCCGCGGGTGTAGCCGCTGCCTTTCAATTGGCCCCCTATTGAAAAAGATTGAGGACCCCTGCACTAGACCCACAGATGTGTTATTTTTTAACCAGGTAAGGTAGAACAGAGGAGAGGTGCCCTTCAAACAGGCTTAAAGGTCCTCATACTAAAGGAAAACTGTTGATACGAGGACGACCTGTCTTGCTGGAAGCCAACTACAAAAAACAGAAGAAGAATTGGCCGTGCTGTATCTAGTGTTAAAATATTGCTGGTGCAAGATGCCAAATACCTTATCAAAGGAGATGGTCACATTCTTGTGATGGGTGTGGATCTGGAAGACAATGACAGTCACATTGCTGGGAATATTCCTTAGCACAGCTTCAGCTGGAATGGTTTCATTTAGCAATACATCCTTATACTTTCCCAAGGAAAGCTCAAGGAGAGGGCCTGCATTAAAAAAGAAAAACAACTCTTAAATACAAGTTAGTTATCTTGAATGACCAATGCCTGCAGGTGAGGAAAGCACACACTGGTGCAACATGAAGTTTAACTGGAGTGGTTATTATATTATCAAGTACTCCTGGAAGTTAAGAATGCTTCATATAAGATACTACCTATATCTTATGCTGACTCTTGAGTCACCTGATAACCTTCATTCCTGACAAGACTAGGTGTTCCTGAGCCCTGCTGGGGAGTCACAAGGACCCATCAACTTCCCTGAAACTCTACCTAGGTAGACTTTCTGGAGTTGGTGAGCCTTTTACCTTTGGCTTCCTCTTTCAAATTAAATCACATGGACTAATCAAGGTGTCCCCAACCTTCTGAGTCAGTATACACATTCAAAATTTTGAGGCTAATGTGGACTAAAATGGCTGCCATGGGGCATAGCTGGTAACAAAAAAAACTCCTTTTCCCAGAAGGCAAACTGGTGGGAATAAAAGAAAAGCAACCTGTCCAAGAACAGAAGTACAAAGTTTGTGCTCAAAAGGGTTTTGTGCTCAGAAGGTTTTGAACCCAAACAATGGTAGCACTGGAGGGCAAAACTTCACTATACATAATGTTTAAAACATCAGGAGGGGCAGGAAACCTGAGGGCACCAGAAGAGGGGCCTGCAAGTACATTGGGTGCCATAGACATCATGTTGGAGATCCCAGGGCTAGATGTAAGAACATAGCATAAGAAGAACCACACTAGATCAGACCAAAGGCCTCAACATTCTGTTACCTCAATAGTCAACCAAATACCGATGGGAAACCCACAAGCAAGGCAAAAATAGCCCTTTTCTATAGTGGCTCCCCAATTACTGGTACTGAAAGGTCTGCTGCTTCTGAAGGTGGAACATGTGGTCACCATGATAAGTACTATTGACAGCCTTCTTCTCCCTTTGCCCAGTCCTTTTTAAAAGCCATCTCCGTTAGCTGCCTTCACCATATCATATGGAAGTGAATTCCATAATTTTACTATGTGCTGTGTGAAGTATTTCCTTTTGTCTATCCTGAATTGCACCCCTTCCATTTAATCGGATAAGCCTGGACTCTAGGTCCGGATACTTCAATTGGTTCAAAATAGAGCTGCCAGGCTGCTGACAGGGACTGGACATTGTGTTCACATGACTCCAGTCCTCCGTCAGCTTCACTGGCTTCCCACTGAAGTCCGGGCCCAATTCAAGGTGTTGGTGATGACCTATAAAGCCCTAAATGGCTTGGGTCCTGGTTACCTGAAGGAGCGCTTATGTCCACATATGCCCGCTCGCCCCTTGAGATCTGCAGGAGAGGCCCTTCTCCAGGAACCCTCCGTGAAGGAAATTAGGAGGCTGAGTACTCGGAGGAGGGCTTTCTCTGCGGTGGAGCCCAATCTATGGAATGCGCTCCCCAGAGAGGTCCGCCTGGCACCATCGTTATTTGTTTTTCGGCGCCAGGCAAAGACCTTTTTATTCAAATGTCATTTTAATTGTTAATAGTATTTATTCATTTTATTCTTTGGCCAGGGCGACTTAATTTATATTATTCTATGGAAGTTTATTTATGGATTTGAGCCGCCCTGAGGCTTCGGCGAATGGGGCGGTACAGAAGTCTCCTAAATAAATAAATAAATATTAACAGACAGGAAGAACAAATTCTTCCGGTCCTTTGGTTATTGCATTGAAGTGACATACAATTCTGAACAAGCACACAGGCAGCAGGAGGAAGTGTGCTTCATGTTTGTTACAAACACGAGTAACAAATATGCCAATGCATAACAGCTTTGCCACTGTCTTGCTGAAGGGCATGGGGCCTCCACGTGCTCTATAAAGCTTTTAGGAAGGCCTGGAGCCTTCACCACGCCCTGGAGCCTTCTTCAAGGCCACTCATTTCTAATTAGTGTAACTCTCTTTCTATGTTTCCATTATATTGTAGTGTTAGTCAACATTTTGTCCATATTATGACAGTCCATGGATTGTGTTTTTGCAAAAGTCAACTTTAACAACCTGATTAACCAAGCAGTCAGGGCACTATGCCCAAGGCCTCTGCTGAAAAAGGGAAGGTACCAGGAACTAGTTTTTCTTGACACAAGCTACTTTATATTGTGGATTTATTTTACTGCATTAGGCTTTAAACTCTGTATTTCTTGACTGCAGCTTGCTACCTTCTCTTATAAGAATAATTCTAATTCTTCATAGGACTGGATCATAGTTCATTAACAGTAACTCCCAAGCTTTCATATCAGGTATAGTCTCTTTTACCCTGTGAGACAAAACACTCAAGGCTGAAAAGCTGCAAGAAACAGAGGCTTTGACTGTTACTACAGTTGCCTTTTGCCTAGTCAAAGACACAGTCCACTAGCAATCCAGGACTGGTCAAAAATGATGAACAACAATCATGCATTAGCATTTTGTTAGATTTGTGTTATTTATATTTGTGAACAATCTTCCTAAGTCACACATGCAGACCCCTTCCTCTGCATACCTGCAACAAGTTGGAATGCCTTCCATTTAAAAATATTCCCAGGTATGTGAAACACTGACTACTTATCCATAGAACATCAGTATGATATAATAGTAAGAGTGTTTGACTAAGAGCTTCAAGTTCTAGTTCCCATGAAGTGGGGAACTTTGGGCTGGTCTCAAACTGTTCAGTCACATGGCAGATATGAGGATAAAGTAGAGTGGAGGCAGCTCGTGTATACTCTCTGGAGGAAAGGAGGTATATAAAATGAATAAATCAAAAACATGAGTGTAGCCCTCTAAACACACCAAGCTTTTCGGTTCTCCTAATGTTCATGATTAGATATTTTAGTTTTTAAAAATGTTTGTGAAATGGTTATTTTCATAAATCATAAAATAGTAGAGTTGGAAAGGGCCAGAAGACGATTGGGTCCAACCCCCTGCTCAGGGCAGGATGCCAAGTTAAATCATCCCTCCCAGATGGCTGTCCAGTTGCACCCTGAATGCCTTTAGTGTGGGAAAGCCCATAACCTCCCTCAGGACTTGGTTCCATTTTGTGACTGCCCATGCTCAATATGGCAGCCATTTTGTGAATAAGCCACCTACCAGCAAGCATTTCATGGGAGTACCCACAATGCTCTTTCAAAATGACTAATATGCTCAGCAGCATCAATATGGTTTTGGAGCTCACACTGCACCTCTTCCTTAAATATAGATTCTTGGACAAGTTGTTTTTAGTCTCACCAGTCTGCCTTATAGAAAAGAAATGTTTTGTGATTCACCATGTCCACCAGGAAAATCTTCCTGCAGCTGGCCTTTTGTGAGAGTACTTGCAACACTATCCCAAAATTCCAGCCATCAGGGACTGTGCTTTACAGAAAATCTATTCACAGCTTTTACATTTATATCCCACCATTCTTCCACGGAGTGCATAACATGATCCTTCCTTTCCCCATTTCTTTTTCCAACAGCCCTGTGAGGTAGGTTAAGCTGACTGATCCAAAGTCACCCAGAGAGGATCACAGTAGAGTGGGGACTAGAACCCAGGTCTCCCCAGTCCAACACTCTTGCTACCCCACAGCAGCTTTCAGCATAGTTCTCACCCAGAGCTGTAACAAACCAAGTAATCAAGACTCCACACAGTGACCCATCAGTGCCACATCGGACCAAGATCCAGCTAGCCCAGCATTTCAGTGCCAACAGCAAACAACAAGGTTGCTCTGGGCATTCTCAAACCATGGTGATACCCATGCTTGTACTCAGCATTTGGTACTCAAAATTATGCTTCCTCAGAAAAAAGCAACCTGCAGACATGTCTAATATTCATTGACAAGCAGCAGCTAGTGTCCATTCACATACTTCATAGCAGTAAATTCCATATTTTAATAATATTTTATGTGAAGGATTCCCTTTTGTTCCTTTTATGCCTATTGCCAGTCAATTTCATTGTACACTGCAGTTTTAGTACTACCTGCGCATTCCTAATTTTATAAATTCTAGTATGCCCCCAAGACTCATACGCTAAGAAGCCCTGAACCCTTTAACCTTTCCTTATACTGAAGGTGTGCTAAGAGTTCTCCAAGTGCTACTCAAAGCAAACAGTCCTTGGAAGCTTTAAAAAGTAATAAATGGCTAATGGAAGAACAGTTGAGGGGCAAACTTTTCTCAGACTCACTCCAATCTCTGACCTTTCAGCTGTTGTTCGGAAAGGACAAATTGCACAACATTACAACAACCTCCACCCCAACCAACCAAAAACCTTGCTATAGATTAGAGACAATGGACGTAATGAAAAGATGAGCTGCTTAGGATATTACAATTCACCATTTCCTAATGGGACTATTGTTTGATGTAGAAGCCTTTTTGTAATTATCACCTTAGAAAAAAATATTTGTTTTTATCAGCTCTAGTATTGCAGAAGGTGTGCAGATATGCATACACTGCTCAGCATTCTACAGCTCAAAGCAGAACAGGTAAATCATTGGCCAGATTCACTGACATCACGGCATTGCTTCATGAATCCCATTACACACAAACAGAATGCACACTTCTGCTCACGTACTCACTGTCCTCTTCCACTACCTCGCCAGAAAGAGAAATCTTGGAAGTCTCAACTTCTGATTTATCACATCCCACCATGTTGTCTGGACCTTCAAATCTAGTCAATCTTAACTATAGTAGTTTAAACATGCCAGATTCCATAATGATAGTTTGAAATTGGTTTGTTTGAACCATAATTAAAGTTAATCATTAATTGAACATAATGGTAAGCAGTTTGTTGGCCCAAACAAGATGACAGACCATCATTAACCAAAAGTGAAAGCAAACGTGTCTGAGCAACTCGTCTTCCTGGCCATGAAAGAAAAAGAAAGAGGAGAAAGCAGCAGATGAGCCCAAGTTTGTTCCAACTCACTCCTGTTTGTGCTCATCAGACTTAAATATAGGTTGATATTGGGTGAGCAACATGCAGTCTGCGGAATGCATGCAGCTCCTAAAGTCCCACCCCCTGAAATTCAGGAAATCC